CAGTTGATCGACATATTTAGTTGATTTAATTTATATTGTGATTAAGTTGGTGAAATCAACAGAAACAAAAAAATATTTACTAAGATTTAAATTTCAATGAAAAATTGAATTTTTCTAATCATTAACTTGATTTTTTCGTGATCAAATTTAACCAACTTAACAATTTAAATAAACCACAATCTCATCAATTGAAATAAACCACCAAGAATCCATAATTTAAAACTTTTATCACTTCCTTGATTATTTAAATAATCATTTGCCCGATTGACCGAACCAATTGACTTAATTGTTGAATGTTGATTCTCATGTTAATTGTTTCAATTTCATTCCAATTTTTGTAGCCAATTCATTTGTTTCAAATACATTAACTCAACGGTTCTGGAATCCATATAATTAAATGGCCTCATCTCAACTTATCACAATTAATCCAGTTAATCACCAGTTAAATTGTCAAGAACAATATCAACATTGGTAACCAATTAGACTGCGGATAAAAAATAGTAATCAATTATTGAAACATTGATTTACAAAGGAAACATGATAATTAACAACATGAACAAATCACAGAGTCAAAGTGATTAACCCTTTGGGCGAAATTAACTCACGCCAACTAATCATTTGATGATAATCAAAGTTTTAACTATTAAATGGAATCAGAGAAAAAGATATAAAATCTATTAGGTAAATGGCCGATTAATTGTTGCTGATTAGATGGAAAACTTTTAACAACTTTTCAACCAAAATCGAAATGGTAAACAATTAAACGTATCAATAAACTCACAGCTAAATTGCTGTGATGGTTATTGATTGTGCACAACTAGAAAAAAAAACCTCCAGATACAATTACAATTACCTATTTAATGACAATTACAATTATCGTCTAATTTAACTTTGCACTTTGAAAAGTCAATCACTTACTGGACATATAATAATAGCTGGACACTGGTCATCATGGTTAACACTTACCCTTGTCCACTAGAGACTTAAATTGCCATGACAATCATGATGATCACAATCAACTGTTGTTTGATTGTTGATTACAAAGAGAGAGAAAAAAAAAATTGTCAATCACGATTTTTGGTTAACTTTGAATTTCTCTGATTGTATTTAACTTGTGTTACTTAATCATAATCATAATCGTAATCATAATTGTGATCATAATCATCTCTGATTATGATTTACTCTTAATCTTTGATTTTTTTTTCTCATAATCAACAAAAAAAGTTCATAGAGTTAAAAAGGTAAAGAAGCAAAAAGAGTAATCAACAAAAAAGAGCAGCAACTTTAATTGCTACAATCAATTTTGATTGTTACAATCACAGCGATAAAGGTTTTTAGCCCTGTGATCGTGAATCAAATAATTTAAATTGTCATCAATTCCTATCATTTAATTTAAATGTTAATAAAACTAAACTTCATCTCGGAAACTTCATCTTCATCTTGATTGTGATCACAATCAGATCTCGATATTTTTGTTAATTGTAATCATGATGAGGAAGTTGATTTATTACCAACTGTAACCAACAATTTTGTAATTGTAATGATATTCAACAATTAAGGTTCCAGCAAACTGATTAGTGAGGATTGATAATCAATGTTTTCAATTGTTTTTCACTTTATTTTTGATTTGCTTTCATAATAATTGATGACAATTAAGTTTTTATTTTCTGAATGGTTTATTAACCAGTCGGCTTAGTGATGGTCAGTGGTGAAAATAATGACCACTGTCATTGAGTTAACAGGAAATACTATTTATCATGATTTAAATTGTGTCTCAACAATCAACTATCCGTAGATTACAATTAAATTTCAATTGATTTCAATTTGATTATTATCAATTCAATATCAATTGAAATCTCATGAAATTTACAAATTTGTAACAATTTCTCATTCTTAATTTTTATACAGTAATTAACTGACCGTTATGTTAATTATCAATTGGAATTGTGTTAATCATCATTTCCTCATAGTGAATTAAAATATTGATTTAAATTTGTTGATTTTTTTTCACAAGAAAATTTAATCAGATATTTTTGTTTCCTGGTCTCATTTTAATCATATCCAATTTACCATTAAACTGAATTGATTAAACTCCAAGTTTCCGCAATTTAATTCACATGAAAATTAATATTTACCCATAAACATAATAATCAAGACAATCAAGTCACAATTGCTGATATAATTAACTTAATTCAGTTCATCTTAAAGTTTCAAGTTGATGATTTAAGTTTTGAAAATGAGTTAAAGTTGTTTTATTTCCAGTGATTAACTTAACGAGTGAACACAATTAACTTTGAGTGTTAATGACATTGAAATAATAATATAATAAAAAAAAGTGGTAATTGATTAACACTTTTCATTTTAATTGTAATCTAAACAATTAAGCCAACTCCTTTCACGATTAATCATTTCAACACAATTTAAATGATTTAATCGTAAACCCTTTGAGTTGAGTTAAACTAATCAACTATTAGACTAAAATAATTAATTAGTATGTAAACAAGTTGATCAAATTTAATTAATTTATATCGTGACTAATTGCTGCTAATAATTAAAATCCCAAACAATTGAACGTGTTAAAATAAATGAAAGTATTTAAATTAGTTTGTTGATTAAAATTATCAAATCTATTTAGTAATTAAAATTGCGATTTGAAATTGTTATTAAAGGGTAAGAAAATGAAATGATGAAAATGAAAGGATTTAGATAATCAATCAAAAATCAATCACAATTTCTGATGATTAACCAGCAATAACTCACAATTTAGTGATTGATTTGACTCACAATCAACTTTGATTATTAACCATGATCAGAATCACCACTGAGCCGGAAGAGACAGAGAGTTACAACTAGAGAAAGTAAATTGTACAATTAGATCTTAATCATAATCATGATTAAGATGATGATGATCATCATCTAAGAGTAAAAAATGAAATATAAAAAATATCTAATATCTTAATCATCAAGAGTTAAATTCAGTTCCTTCTTAATCATCAACAATCAGGAAGGGAAAACGAGTAACAATCAACTGATTAAGATGAAAACGGTAACAAACCTTAATTTTTTTTCCTAGTATCATGTTGATCATGATCATCAGTTGATTGTTACATTACCTTTTTCACAATTAAACTAAAAAGTTACGATTAACATTTTCAAATGTTTCAATTAAAACAATTGTAAACTTTAAATGAAAACAATCAAATTGTATCTCTTCATTTGATTACAATTTAAGATTCATGATCAACCATATTAACCTTATGATAATTTAGTAACTAAATCAATCATCATCAAGATAATTTAGTCAGAGAAAACCATAAGTTAATTGTTAATCATGATAATCTAATCATAATAATGTAATTGTGGTTTAAAAAGCAGAAACAACAATTAACTGATGGAGAGTAAAAATAAATCAAAATTGATTAACCGGAAGTTTGAGAGTAAAAAATAACATTTAATATCTTAATGATTAAAGTAACAGCAATTTAACAGAAACAATTGATTAACAATCAGTAAACAATTAAAAATGAAAATGTTAAAAACTGAACATTACATTTCCTTAATCTCGTATCGCCAACCAATCAGTTAAGTTGACAATTAAAGGGCTTAATCAGAATTACGTTTGTAAGTTCAAATGAAATGACAATATTGTAAATCATCAAATGATTTGATTCATTGCCAAATAAACAATTAACTAACAATCAGAACAACAATTGAATCAAAGTGAAAAAAGAAACAACAACAACAACAAAGATGAAAATGAGAAAGAGAAAGAAAAAAAGTTCCAACGTGAATTGAAAGCCTACGAATTGACCTTAGATTTGATTTCTCACAATTAACAACAATCAACAGAGACAAAAAAGACGCTGACAATTGATTGCTCATCACCGGTGGTGGATAAACATGACAGTCGGCGGAGAGAAGCAAAAAACCACCTTCGAAGGTGAAATATTCACAAAGGAGAAAGAGGAAAACAAAGTTCTCATCCATAGAGTAAACCAAATCGTCGTTTACATTACAACAGAATAAAAAAACTATCATAGATTCTGAGTTAATATTATCAAGGTATTATCACAATTAAGTGTTACAATCAAAGGTAAATTAACATTGACTGGATCAATTTGATTCCCATAATTGTTACGCTTTAAATCAATCAACTTTTTCTCACACAATTTAATTCCAACAAATAAAATAACATTGACATCGAATTTTTTTTTCTTATTTATTTCCATTTCCATTTTCTTTCAATTCTTTTCTCTCTCTCTCGATCATGAAGATGTTCATGATTATCTTAATCCTGATAATCTTAATCTTTATCACAACATCCAATGAAAAGAATAAATTTATTCCAATTGGAGGAGAATTTTCTGTCAACTTTTGACAATAGAGATGAAATCATTTATTCAAATTAGATTTACGTAAATCATTTAATCAGTTAAATAATTATTATCGATATTTGATTATAATTATAATCATTTCGCACGATAAATCATATTTCGTGTTGTAACTCGCCTTCATCTCTACCAGAATAGTTCAATATCAATGTCAATTCAGTTTTCGTAACGAAATATCATCATTTCGTTACGTTGGCAACGAAAATTTTTTCCAACGATATTGAAAAGAGAGAGAGAAAAGATGATGAAGAAGATTAAATAAACTTCAATCAGGATAATTATGGTAATCATGATGATAGTGATAATAATAGTTGATATAATCTGTGTTTATATCAAGTAGCAAGGTGGATGAGAGAGAGAGAGAGAGAGAGAGAGAGAGAGAGAGAGAGAGAGAGAGAGAGAGAGAGAGAGAGAGAGAGAGAGAGAGAGAGAGAGAGAGAGAGAGAGAGAAAGGGAAGATAAAAGTGAGAAATGGGATTGGACCTTTTTTGGTCTATTGTGTATCCTTAGGGCCTCCAGTAGAGGGCTTATCTTCATCATCTTCATCATCATGTTGTTTATTGCTTCTTCAAGATTTTGGTGTGAGTCTTGTCAGTCATCATTCTGATCTTCATCAGATTTCACTCTTGATCATCTTTCTGCCTCAGGCTATTAATCTTCATAATCATTATTATCTATGTTCTTCTCTATCAGTTTATCTTCATCATCTCTTACGGTTTATCTTCATCAAATAAATCATATTTATCTTTGATATTGTTTTTAATCATTGTGAGTTCGTTTCCATTTTATATAACTGTAATTGTAAACAATTAGAGCCTCGTTTGATTTGTTTTTTTTTGTTCTCTACAAGAAAATCACAACTATTAAAAGTTAATAATTTTTTTTTTACCGCAAAATGATTACAATTAATGAGTTAATTGTTTGTAAACATCGTCGAAGGTTATTTTCATTGTCACATTTTTCCGGCCTCTTGTGTTTAATTAGTTTATTTCAAGTAAGTTCATTGAAAAATTTACCTTAATATAAATATTTTAATCGTTGAAATGAGTTAATCATAAACTGATGAAGTTTATTAATTTTGATTCACCTTTTTTATCTGTTTGTAGTTAACATCAGCCAATATAACGTGGGCTTATATTGACTCATCGTCCTCGGGGTCAGTTCGACCTCCATTAAGTGGACTTAACATTAGTAGTAATTTAAATGACTCTGTGAACATTGCGACAACAGAATCGGACTCATTTACTGTTCATAATAATCACAATACACCGTCGACTAGTAATACAATTGTCATCAATGGCGGTGTAATAACAGGTACATCTTCATCACCTTTAACATTATCAACATCAGCTTCATCTAATAGTGCATTTGATGAACTACCAGCAATTAACACAACTGATGCACTTTTAGCTTTTCTTTATCCGGCTGATTTAAGTTCATCATCGGAAACTTTGTCCCATGATAGTTCAGAGCCTCTTTCATATGCATCTGTCCCTTCATCATTAAATCCCGAGGTAGAATCACTCCCGCCTTTATCAGCATCTTCCAATTTTTCATCAAAAGTTCCTGTATCAATGTTTAATCATTCAACGACGACAACAACGACAACGATAACACCATCTAATTACTCACCATCCTCAACACTAATACCTCCATCATCTTCAGCACCAAATTCAACACAATTTACATCAGCAACTTCATCTTCATCAACATCGACAACAACTGATTCAATCCAGGCAGCAGCAAGTGAACATCGTCTCCGATGGATTGATTATCGTAATCGTCCTGCATACCCACCTCGAGTTCCCCCGGTACCAGGAATCCCAAGTGGATTTCGTAATCCCGTTACACCTACTTACCTTTCACCTTCCGGTGCATCGATACCTCAATCACCACTATATCATAGTCCACCTTTTGGCGGAAGTTCAACTAATCCAGTTGGATTTACTGGATCTGCTCCTGCCTCTGGTGCTTCATCAGGTCCAAGCTTTTTATCGTCCAGTAGTAATGGTTTATCACGAAAACCAAATCTCAACCTAACTCGAGTTGAACGTAAGTCTAAATCATAAATTAATTCATTCGATCTATTTAATCAAATTAATCAATCCTTATCATGGTTACCATATTAATCCACAGATATATCAGCTGAATGCTCCGATGATTATATGAAAGTCGTTACTGTTTTCAATGGCACCTTCACTGGTTTGGTCTACAGTGCGGGTTATGTTCACGATACCAATTGTATTTACGTTAACGGAACCGGTCGAAATCGTTACGATTTCTTCATTCGTCTCAATCAATGTGGAACCTTAGGAAGACAGGAGATGTACCACCCAAAACGACCTGGAGAATTAAGAGTAAGATAATAATCATAAATTAATTTTAAATCGATTAGAGTAATTGCAAGAAATTAACCCTTTGAGACTAAACCAATAAGAAGAAAAAAAACAAGAAAACATTGTCAATGGTTCATCAACTCATCTAATCTATTGACCATTAACCTGAAAAGGTTATACAAGGCTAATAGATTCAATAATAATAAAAGATAATCTTTTCAAATAATCTTGTTAATCAAGTCAATTAAAATTCAAAAACATAATCTCCTAGGAAAGGAAAAGTTTAAATTTCTCAGGTGAACACATTATAATCAGAATATGATTTCTGCATCAATTAGTAAATGACTGATGTTAAACAACAGGAAAAAAACTGAGTTAACTGTTTTTTTTTTCAAATCACGTTACCTTATTACTTTTGATTGTGTTGCTCTTGGGTGGATATTGTTATCATGGATATTCAGTGAAAGTTGTACACCAGTGTGATAATAATATGGTTGTTCAACTGTAATGGTGAAAAAAAGCAGGGCCAATGTACAGTTTGCTGTAAAATTTTTGCTCTTTTTTATGTATGTGTGATTTGTAGATCTTCATTTGCACGGTGGAGACGCTTTTTTCTCACCTCCATACCTTATGGTCACTTCTCTCTTTATCCTTTTCTCTGTCTACGGTAGTTGATCGACCCTTTAGTTGGATACACGTGAGAAAAATAAAAGTCTAATGGTAATAATAAAATCATAATAGTAAAGCAAATAACAATAATGATTAAGGAATGAAATTAACATGAAGAAAAAAAATTTCTCTGAATTTCTCGTAAGTAACAAGTATATTAGATAATGAGATATTTTAATTACCTGTGTAATCAAATAGAAACACTGTTGCTGCTTAGGCTTAATTGTAGTTTAGTGACCATTTGATTATTAATTAATCATTTATCTCTCTCTCTCTCTCTCTCTCTCTCTCTCTCTTTGGATAGTTTCATTTTCAAATGTAAAACCGAATCTGTAAATTGAAACAATAAGAAATACAATTAATGAGTTAATTATCGCTTGATATTCATCAATCAGCATCAATCATAATATAAAAGTGAGAGCATTTTTTTAATCTCTAAGATTTAACTTACTCTTAATACAGAAAAAAAAGTTAATCACGATTATCGTATCAAAAGAGTTTTAATTGTTATTATTAAACAATTGAGAAATTAATGATTCAAATAGTAGTATAGTTACCTCGGTGAAAGAAATAGATATTAAAAGTTTTATCCCCTTTGGATTATCATTATCATTGAAAGTTTACACCTCCAATCAAATTGATAAAATCTATTCAATTGATTATATTAAAGACCATCATATTCATCATCAGCTAATCAATCAATTATTATTAATAATAGATTTCAAATTTCATGGCACATTTTCACCATCAACAATCCGATAATTCCTAAGAAAAAAAATGAGTAACAAACGTAAATGATATTACATATTAATGGCCTTAAAGGATAAAAGAATACAAAACCATTATTAACAGAGAAAATATTGACTATAATAATGGAACGAAATTAATTTTAAACAGAATAGAATATAAGAAAAATATTCCAATTAGTTTCAATTACACTTACATTGGTATTCAACATAGTCCAATAACATACTTCAATTGTATATCATTATTATTGTCATTATGTTGATTGTTATTAAAAAAAAACGATTGGCTTTCACTTTCCATTATTTAAGTTGATCAGGTATATCAATTGAAGGCATATATTCATTTTTATTTGTTTCCATATTCAACACAAATGTAAACCAATCTGAAAATAAAACATGAAGAAGAAGAAAAAAATGAAAATCAAAATTACTATAGGAAAAAAAAGATATGTGATTGATAGTTAAACAAAATGAATACGCTGTTGATTGTTGTTCATTTGATGCGAATACCATTTGATATTCAATAACCTGTCCAATCTATCAATTGATCATTACCTTAAATTAGAATTACAATTACGAGAAAATAATTACAATACATAAATAGAATAGAATAACAATCAACATAGTAACACTGTAGCCTAGTAAGATGAGAGAGAAAAAGAGAAGAAGATTAGAAAACAAATTGAAACGACATTTTGGTTGTTCTCTTTTAGATATAAAAAGAGAAAAGAAAAAGGATTTTTCTTGGAACAATTGATTTACTTACCTTTTTCATTTATTCTTTTCCACCTTAATAATAACATAGATTCTTCTTCTCGATTAATAGTTACAGAGATTCACATGAAATAAAATAATTCAACTAAATTACTTTAATTGATTGATTGACCAACAATTAGAAATAATCATAATTACTCTTTGTTACCAAGAGAAAACTTTGATTCCCTCCAAATATCGGATATCGGATCGATCGGGGATCCGGATAATCGATAATCGGAATTTAAATTTTTCCATTTTTTTTTTGTTCTTTTGTTTTGTTTTAATTTTAATTGTTGTTGTTTTTTTTATTTCGTTTTAATTATTTCCAGAGACGAGATCAGGTCATGTGGAACACTTTATCCATCCAGTACAATCCATTGATCGAAGAGGAATTCGATGAACATTATCGGGTTACCTGTGAATATGGAAGCGACTTTTGGAAAACTGTTACTTTCCCGTCCATTGGTGTTGAGTAAGAATTAATTTAATTTCTATTTATTTTTTATTCTATTTTGTTTATTTTAATTGTTTTTCTTATCCTTTAATTTGTGTGCATCTCTCAGTGAACAACAATTGACAATCATCAACAATCAGGATCGTCTAAGAAATAACATGAAAGTTGGGAAATGTTTGTCTCTCTAGAAAAACAATCCATTAGTATTACAAAATTGACTCGTTATAAAAGCGGAGAGATTGAAGAAAAAGTGATCAACATGGTTCACCTGATTGTCTTGATTGTAATTAGATTGCTGTTGATTGTTTCTCCTCTTCTTACTCTTATTCTTCTTCCTCCTTAGAATGTGACCTTTCCTTTCAATTTCTTTGCTTAAATCTGATCTTTCAACATAGTTGACTGGATTAACGGAAACAAGAAAACAAAAACAATAGAAAAAAAAAACAATTTAACAGTAATAATAATCTGAGATCTAACAAGAGTAACAATTAATTATAACCAGATGAACAATTTAGTTTTCTCTTTCTCTTTCTCTCTATCACCTTTTCCTTTAAGTTCATCGATCAATTTGAAATTGATTTAAGATTAACTCAGTTTACAGTTAATGAGAAAGTGTTTCATCAAAATGATTTGTCCTTCAATCAAAATCAATGCCAAATCAATTGTTAATCATCATGTTGATTACTTTCATTTCCGTGTTATAATTAACCTTTTGTTTCTCTTTTCTCACTTAAATATTGTTAACTAATTGATAAATGATCAAGTTAAACTTTTAAATCTACTGAAAGTATTGCAACTATTGATTTAGATTTACAATTTTTTGTGTAGTTAATCATTTCCTGATCATCATCATCATCATCACCATTCATGAATTAATGATTGTAAAAGTAAATCAACACAATCAAATCCATGGATTGGTCAAGATAATGAGAAAATAGCGGTTACAGGTAAATCGTTAATCCAACAATTTATGATGGTTAACAAAAAAAAAGATAATCTTTTTTTTTCATCAAATTTCCAGGTTAATTTAAAGTCTCTTGTATTGATTAGCCTCTTTCACAAAGGAAATGTTGATATAATTTTCTTATCTTCATTATCATCATTATCCTTTTCTTTTTCTCTTTCTACCTTTCAATTCAATTCTTTCAGAAGTTATCAGAATCACGAATACAATACAAATGTTCAATACCAGAAATTGTTGGTCATTCATTGGAATCACTTGTGAGGCCATTGAACGACATTGATTCATTTTCATGGTTATTTTTTCATCAGCCATCATGAATACTTCCTCCTTATCATCATCATCTTCATCTTCATCAATTTCTGCTGAAGTTTCAAAGTTCTCAGTTCAATATTGATGACCATTAATAGATCTATTTGTAGGCTAAATTGTGATGTTTTCGTTGAGATTTTAGATTTGAATCAATAGCCAATATATTGGATTAGGATGAGGATGAGAAAAGATTTAAATGAGATAATCATTGAATCGGATAAACTGAAATGGAATCTATTTTAACAATGAGAAATTATTTGGGTTAATTTAGTTGTTAATTGATTTCTTTTTATTTCCCTTCTGTAAATATTATCTTTCATTTCCTATTAAATTAGATTTGATTGTTACCTCACTTTGAATGATGATTAAGATGATGATTGTTTTTATCCCCTTTTCGTGATACCAAGATTATCATGTTAACAAATGGGTAACACGGTGGATTAGGATGATTATGATTATGATGATGATGTAAAGAGGGAAATAGTAAAAGTGATTGGTTAAACAATTTCAATTGAGTTGATTGAAAAACAAATGATGATGATGATGATCAGGAAAATCAAGATTAGGATTTAAAATCAAACGCCTAAGGACATTGACCTATTGTATTTACCTTGATTTCTTGTAATAAACAAAAACAAAAGTTAACTAATGGTTTGGATTTCAGATTATATAACAATCAATAAATTAAAGCTTAATTGACCAAGAAAATTGAACACAATCAACTAGAGATCAACTATAATAACCTTAATTGTTGCTTCTGTTTCCGTTAATTTTGATTTGACCAATGGAGTTAATTATGATTTATATCACTTAATTGTTGCATGATTGTTTTGTTTGTTTGTCGCTGTCTCCTTAATATTGATTGTTCAAAAGCAATAGCGTTTTTTTTGTGTCACAAAAATGAACAATTAAGCAATTCCAAAAAGTTTAATTGTTTATTTTTGGTTTGCATGGAAAAACCTAATTGTTAACAATTAGTCCAGTTGCTTTGCTCTTCGAATCAATTTTGCAATTCGATATTTTCCTTTTTTATTGCTCTTTGCAATAATCGATTAAATGAAGAATCAATTTTATGGAGACAGATCATTCGAATTTTCGGCCTCCGACAGGGTCAACACAGGAAGTCCAGTTGTATTCACCATCAACCCGCCCCAGTGCCAAATGGAAATTCGAAGAGGATTTAGTATTGCCGGACCTCGAACTTCGGGACCAGTTACCGTTGGCGATCCATTGACATTGTTGATCCACATGAAAAGTGAAAAGGGTAAGCAAATGATTCCAATTACTTAGAATGGTTTCAACTGTCAGTTAAGAGAATTTAAATAAATTGGATTAACTGATTTGATTGTTAATTTTAGAAAAGGATAAAATAGAAGGTTAGAAATTAGGAAGATGAGAACATTTTTTTTTCTCCTTCCAATAGAAAACTCCTTCCGATATAAGAGGAAATGAAGATAAAGAGATGATGAATTGAAGAAAAACAAGAAACTACCGGTGCAAGGATCCAGTAAATTGGCAGTAATTGACCAAACAGATAACGGCAAATGACCTGAGTCACTTTCTCAGATCAATGATGCTTCAAACAACAACATTGGTTAAGCCAATTTCATTACTATTAAGATAATAGTGATTTAGTTTAATGACAATGATGAAACTGAAGAAGAAAAATTATGACAATTCGCTGATCAACTAGACGATACAAACACGTTATCCTTGTGGTTCAATTGTTTTTTACAATTTACTCATCATCTCTTTCATCTTCATCCTCATCTTCCTCATGATGAAATACAATAAGATCAAGATACTAATCCTCTAGGTGAAAGTGATACTTTAATCAAATCTCATATAATATCAACATCTAATGATCCGTTTAAGAGGAAAAATGTTTAATCAGCCTTATACTTACCTGAAAAAATTTTCATCTTTTTTTTCATTGTTATGAATCATTAAGATGATGATGATAATGATGATGATGACCATCCTGTTATCTTCATCCTCCTTCCTTATTACAGTTAGAGTAATAAAAAAATGAAGACCAATTGAAATTAGATTGCTAGATATGAAGAAAGGTTCATTAAGACAATGATAATAGAGAAAAAATTAATTCTATTTCCGATTTAATTTTCTAAATTAACCATTTGAAAGGGTCAAGTGATTACAATGTATAATCATTTTTTTTCCTTCACAATGATGACCAGTCTCATTTTGACATCGAAAATGCTTAATGATTTATCATATAATTAACCTTCAGGTAAAGTTTATTAATTGATATTATTATAACTTTGCTGATCTCTATTCAATTCAATCGAGATCGTAAACAATTAAATTTATACTTTCATTGTATTAATTATTACAAATAAAACTACACAGGTAGTTGTTGATCAACAATCAGTAATTTCACAAGTAATTAGGTTAATTTATTGTCATGTTTTAGATATTTTATCAAATCGATTGCAATTTACCTGATCAATTGGAACTGCAAATTGTAATGATTTATCAAAATATCTTGAAGGACTTTATATAAATACGAATTACACCTTAGAACTAAATTCTAATACATATTCGTAAATCTTTTCATCTCTTTTTTTTATTGAATTTTTTTCTTACCTACATCAGTTGATATACGAACAAGATTATCACTTTCACATCTAATTATTTATTACGATAAAACTTTATTTTTCCCTAGTAAATATCGTTGATCATTCTGATATTTACACGATAATTATGCACAATTATAATTTCTTTTCATTTTTTTTTCTTCTCTTCTTTTCATTATCATTCAAAATCTGAAGCTGGATTTGATATTCTCGTGAAAAACTGTATCGCTCACAATGGTGCTAATCAGAGGCTTCAATTGATTGATACCAATGGGTAAGAATTGAAAAAAAAACGATTCAACAAAATAATATAAATTGATAATAATAAACACCAATCAACAATAATCAAGAATATAAAAAATGAACATGATGATGATGAAACTAACCTTGAGATGCCTTTTCATCATCATCAATTTGATAATTATCATGATGGAGTGTAAATGCAATATGAAATGATAATAATAATGAATTGATAAACACCCAAAGGTATTTTTTTCATCAAAAATTACCATGATACCTGGTGAATACCTGACAATCATTTAAAGTGTTGCCCAGTTGGTTTTTTCAAACACCCCGACAAGTAATGATAATGATAATGGTGATGATGATGATGATGATGATGATAGTTGCAACTTATTACTGTTACCTTCATGTCTTTTTCATCATCATCTCCACCTCCATCTTTCATCCTCCTCCCAGATCTCTCCCATCTTTTTGTATTGAGCTGAGGATGATTATCTTCTTCATCTTGTAATAAATAAGAGAAAAAAAAATGGCGGAGGTGAAGGTGAAAATGGTTGAGCTGTAATTTAAAATCTTTCAGAGTGTGTGGTCGCTCTCGATGCGTGCGATTTATTTATACTTTTGATTTTCTATTCAATTTAATCATCAAATTACAATCAACTTACATGAACGACAAACGATAAATGGGCTTAAGGCCAATTGACTATTATTTTACTTTCTCTTTTTCTTTCAATTCCAGGGAATATCTTTTATCTAATATTCAATTCGTCCACCTCCTCATTCAATTTCCTCCCCACCGAGCTGCTCATTATCCTTATGTCTCTCCATCTTTTATTAGACTTTAACATTGACATAGATCATCAATTTATCTGTTCAATTATTCACCTTGCGAAAGACAATTAACTCATCCAAGAATTAACAATTCTCAATAAGATTCTATTGTCACCAATAGACTTAATTGTCATCTTCCTATTCCATTATCTTCACCCATCAGAGTGTCCACTTAACAATTGATTCTAATCCAATTGAATCAACTCTCTCTCTCTCTCTCTCTCTCTCTCTCTCTCTCTCTCTCTCCTCTCTCTCGTCTCAATTCATTTCATTTCAAGTCTACATTTTTTTCATCAATTTCAACCTTGATTATAATCATTATTCAGGTAAATTCTTTGGTATTTTTTTCTTCATTCTCATAACTATCTCTCTCTCTCTCCCTTTCTCTGTTAAAAATTGAGGATGAGGATGAGGATGATAATATACTCTCATCTACACGATAAAGTATCATTAAAAGTCCTTGCAAACAAAATATTTGAGATGAAATCAAGTTTTTCCCAAGATGATTTTATTATTATTATTATTATTATATCGCATCTCTCAGGTATTATTCAGTCTCTTTGTTCATTACTATTATCATGGTAATAATAATTTGATTAAATAAATTGGTTTATGATTGTGGTGAGAGATGAGAGGATAACAATTTGCTGTCTCTCACCAACATAAATTACGATGAAACTTTAATTTAGTTTCATTTTTGAATATATTCCAGATTAATCATAACCTTTTTCTAATCTATTAATATTCCCAAGTTAATTAAGTTAATCATCTATCATCAATTACCAATAAGAATCAATAATTTACCTTGAAATGAATTAATTTTTTCATCGTACATCAAATGATAATTATACTCATTGATCTTTCAACTTTTATCTTTAATCATAATCCTAAACAACAATAAACTACAATTAAGTTAATTCAATAATTATCAATATTAACCCAGTAAACTGATTAGAGAAAATACAATAATTACCAACAATTAGAAAGATGAGATTATAACAATTACCTGAGAAAATGTGATTTAAATATTGAATAGTTATTATTAGTAATCAACAAGATGCAATATCCACAACAATTAAGTTTACATTTTAGTTGAAACTGGAAATAATAATGATGATTATTACGATGACCACCATGAAATGGTCATCACCTTGGTCATGATTACTTTTATCACCATCATCAGTTTCATGATGATGATGTTAATCCAGAGAAACTGTAAATAAACTGTTAATCCTTGATGACTAGAAAAATGAATGAGAAAATGAGTTAATTAAGGAAATACACTTTCTCTCTCTCTCTCACCTCCTCCCCTGATACTCACTCCACCCGAATTTCATCATTAACCATGATGATGAATAAACTATTCCAGTAGCTATAAGATAAACATGATGATAATAACAATTTATGATCATATTTAACATAAGTAAAAGTAATTTAAAAAATTCTTGAAAAGCTCAACAATAACAACCATGATAATGATTATGATGATAATTCAGTTGCAAGAAAATGTTTCCCAAAGTTTATCATGATTATCATGATGATAACAATGATAATAAACTGTTGTAAAGGTAAACAAAGATACGGAAAACTTTTTTTCAAAAATTTTTAAATTCTTTTTAAAGTTCTCTCTCTCTCTCTCTCTCTCTTACCGGTCATCTCAGATCATTTTGTTTACCTTAACGGTCAATTCAACTGTTAATAAGGTAATTTAAGTTGACCAATGAAAGATATTAATGATTAATATACTTACGCCGAGGTGTTAACCTTGTGTGAGAAAAGGTTAAGGTCAAACTTTTGTCCGAAAAATAAAATATTTAATCAAAGGAGATTTTTATTTTTGCGAATCATTATTTTCATGATTATCATGATGATCATCAATTGCAATTAGATTTTTTCGCAAGGTTCAATAGCCGGAAGTAGACAATGTTTGATCAAATTAGCTTCATATTCACAATTAAGTTGATTTCATATTTTAAATTGTGATGATTTAATCAACTTAATTATCTGTCTCTTTACCTTTAAAAATATTAATGTATTTATCTAATTAGTGGGAATATTTTTCTCTTCCATTAATTGTTTGATTCTGTTGATTGGTGTCTTTCAATTGAACGTTTAATTGTTCAACTAATCATTTGAATCACTTTAATTTTCTCTCCAGTTGTGTTACTAATGAAAAGTTAATCAGTCCTTTCCGTGGTACTTATAATACTGATGATGGACATCAAGTGACCTTATATGCTTACCTAAAGGCTTTCCGATTCACCGGAAGTCCAGCCTTGTATCTTGAATGTGATATTCACATGTGTCACAATAAATGTCCAGTAAGTTGAATTGAAGATTAAATTTTAATCCCAATTTCGATTAATCCAATTAATTATCTTCTTTTATAACAAATAACAGCCACAAAGATGTTATTGGAGAAATTTATCCAAACGTGATTTAACTTCAATCTCCATGAAAAAATCAGCAACAAGTGAAAATAATCCATTAATCTCAGAGAGCATTAGTTTATTTCAAGCTCTTGAAGTTCGTCATGATGATGAGCCACAAGATACTGTTTCCAGGGAGGCGAGAAATCGTAAGTTAATCAATAACAATTAACTTTTAATTCGTTGTTCTAAATATTAGTTAATTGTTTTCCTTTTGTTTTCAGTTGGATCACTTGAGGAATTGGAAGATGGAGTTTGCTTCAGAATTCAGAGAATCGCCATTTTCTTGGTCACTTTGACTGTCATGTTTGTCACCACCATTTTGATATCAGTTTGCAGTTGCCTTAAATTGCGACAATTAAGGAAGGAGACTCGATGTATTTACAATCCAATTAGTCCTTATAAATCAAGTAAAAGCAGTTGTTCAAATTCAGTGGCAACCAATTCAATCTCACATTCAACAGCATCCTCATCATCTTCATCTTCATCATACAAACCACATTCAACTAGATATTGATTGTGAAATCATTTTATTGACAAATCAACACAATCAACACCTTAATTGTTGCTAAATGGCTCACTAGCTCATCTTAATTGGTTTTCTGTCCGTTGTTTTTTTTATAACGTAACCAATTTCTCAAGACTTTAACAATTTAAGGCGTTGATTAGGTTTTAAAAATTGCTCATCAAATGTTTTATGTGATCAATTATGATTAAGTTAATCACATTTCTTACCTTTTATACTCTCTTGATTATTTATTTGCTTCTCATTCCTCGTTTTTTTTTGTATTGCCAAAATTATCAATCATAATTAATTAATCATTCTTTGTACTTCTCCTAATTAGTTTCTCTCTTTTTCTTACTTGACAATCAGTTTATCCAAAATCCAACATTTTCATGCTTAATTTAAACTATAATCAAGTAGGAAAGTCTTAGGTAACTGTTGACAACAATTTGTCGATGAAAAATTAATGGACATATGATTGTTGATCAAAGTGAGTAACTAATCAGGAGGAAAGCATTGGCCTCGAAGGGAAGAATTAATTGTCCAATTGTGATAATCAATTTGTTCCCTTTTTCGGTCATTGGACTTCATTTGTATTCTAATCCATCCCTATTTAATTGCTCTCCGGGTTTTCTTCAGGTAATGGATTCCTAATCTTCCTTTGTTTTTGTAAACCAATATACTCTAGTACTCTAATGTTCACCATCTCGACCAAGTGTATTTTGAACACTTCGACTGCTAAACTGTAAACTTTTTACCTTCTATCACCATCTATACTCTGATGTAATTAAATAAACGATCGACCAAAACATCGATGATACCACTTTTTAACATGTTCTGTTAATTATTTGTTCTTTCTCCATTGAAACGTTTGCCTCTAACCAGGAAATTTATTAAGGTGCCATTAACGATTAACTGCAGAATCTGAAAATTGGGAGAAAAAAGAAGAGATTATCAAGTGGAATCATAGTAAAACATCAAATTGTAAACATTGTAACACGGAAGAAAATGTTTCAAGAGTTTCAAGTCGAATACCAACCATTATCAAAGTGAATCAATACCTCCCATAAACGAAAGTCAATCTGTAAACAAGACAGAAAAAGTAATGGATTCCAATATGGTTATGAAGATAAACTAACTGAAATTAAGGTTTTCAGTGATCCCTTTACATAATAAAGAGATTGTTATTCAAGGCAAAACAATTTAACTCTATTAACTAGGAATCAAATGATAAACTTATCATCTAAATAAACTGACAAAACCATCGTGACAACACTTACAATACTTGTAAATGGATAAAAAAGACACAGAGAAAGTAAGAGACAAAAATCTACATGATTAGCTTGAACACATTACATGTAAATGAGTAAACAAGGAACATAAAGGAGAAAAGGAATGACAAATCCAACACCACCATTAACTTCACCAACAACAATTAAAATGATGAAAAACTTACATGCAATTAAATTACAATTAAACAAATTATAATCCACAGGTAAAAACCAATCAATCGCCTGTTCACCTTAGGCCTAAACCAAATATCATTTCAAGAGATACGAAAGATCATCAAACACAAACAACCATTTCTATATTTCTATAAATACCTGAATGAGTAAACGAGTTAATTATCACAATAATTAAATAAAAATAGTTAAAATAATAAGATGATAAGATAATTTGTGATTAAAAAATTAAACCAAATCAACAAAAAACGATTTAGAAAAAAAAGAAAATTTTTTGTTCTTTTTAAGAAACATAGAGGGCGTTAGAGTCTTCGAATGTTAGTCAATGAAAAAAAAAGAAAAGAAATTGTTTGATTAACAAATAGTCTTGATTATAATTGTTTCTTTATCCTCATCAATTATTAATTATATTTACGATACAATTAACTGATAGAGAGCAGGATGAGGTAATTCAAAGTATCAACAATGTTGGTTTTACATTTTCAAGTGTCTTTTCATTTTCTTTTTTGTCTTTTCTATTAATACTTGTACAAGAATTAGATTTGATGTTTACATTTTTTTTTCTTCATCTCTAATCATCATTGATTTATCATGAATTCTGTTATCTTCTATTTTCTTCTGGCAAATGGATTTGACAAAACCCTGAAGATGAGAGTGTCGATCCATGTAAAACATTTGTTACCTTTTTCTTTTTCTATTAATTTTCTGGTTGTTGAAATAGAAAAGAATTTTATAATTTAGCTTCTGCTTATTACCTTTTTCCAAAGTCTAGTGGCCCTGAGGATGTAAGATAATTTTCCTTCATCCATGGGCATCGTTTCTTGTTCTCTATCAATTTGAAGACCGGATAAGGAGTGGTGGGAGTAGAGAAGAATTTCTGTTTCCCTCTTCAATTTTATTGCTTCAAATTTACCGCTTAAGGTAGTACGTGAATTTTTTTTTATCAACTGGTAACTTTTTCTCTGGTTACCGGTTGATTTATGTGCTAATTATTCCTTCATTTGATAACCGTTTTTAGATGTTGTCAATTTTAAATTGTTACTATAGAGACAAGTGGAAACCGGAAAAAAGGTAAGATGGTTAAAAACAAAAGAAAAAAAAATAAAAGAGAAAGAGCAAAAATCTAAAAGACACTTTTCTTTTTCTTGAACAATTTAGGTAAAGGTAGAAGAGAGAAAATGTTTCATATTGAATATGTAAACCCAATAGTTGAAGAGGTTAATATTCAACCGTCACAAAGAAGCAAAAAGAAGAGAGAAAAGAGAAAAAGAGAAAAAGAGATTTTCTTTTTAGATTGTATTTTGTCCGTTGAATGTTTGAATTGGTTGAACGTTTGTTGGTTCGCAACAATTGGTTAGTGGCTTTTTCTTGTTCCAAGCAAGTTTAGGGTCAGTCAAATGTAGAGAAGAGAAAGAAAAGAGAAACAGAAAGAGAGAGAAAGAGAAACGAGATGAAGACACAAAGAGAGGCAATGGAATAATATGGCTGCCGGAGAGAAGAAGAGAAAAGAAGAAGAGAAAGAGAAAAGAGAAAAGAACGATATTCTTTTCCATTCTCTTTCTTTTTCTTTTTCTTTTTCTTGTCAAATTTTCTCTTCAATTTAATTCCAATTTCTCATCTTTCATTTTAATCAGCGAACAAAATGTTAATCATAATTAGAATTTTCTGTTAATTATGATTAACATTTCATTTTAATTTTCCATTTTTTCTTCGATTCTTTTCCCTCTTTTCTCTTTTCCTTTTTTATTCTTTCCCATCAATCGGCTTCTATATTCTTTGTACAGGACCAAATGGTTGGCGGGAAAAAGATATTAACCTTATTCTTTACTGCGAAAGGAAAAGCTTAAGATCTTTTGTTTCAATTTAATTTGATTATTTTTTCTTCTCTAATTAGGAACACGAACGAGGTTTTGTTTTAAGTTTGTGATAATTGGAATGAATTTTTGGTCAATTTGAAGGTTTGGGCGGTATTTAATTTCATCATGTGGTCTAGTAAATTGATCTGTTTTTAAGTGTTCAAGAGGTTTTGTTGAGTTAAAGTGATAAAAATGAGTAAATGATTACAATTTAATTGAAATGAATAAAGAGCCATACGAAGAGAAGAAACGAAGATTGTGAGTGGAAAAGTTCAAATGATGAGAGATAGTTTCGATATGGAAGGAAAAAGTGAATGAATGATGAGGAAAATTGATGATTAGGCCAAATTAATGTAACACTGTCACTGATCCAATTTGATGATTGCTTTAGTCCTGTCCGTGTGTGTGTATTGGTGATGATTGTAAACTTTTTTTGTGCATAAACAGAACCAATTAGTTGGTGAAGAAATTAAGACTAATTTTATGACAGATCAAGTTTCGAAAAGGGTTTTAAATATAAAAAAAAAGTGATCCGATAAACACCAAGAGATGATAGAACTTGGATGGCCGATGAAATCACTAATTTCCTTCCAGAAAAGTTGCCAATAAAATAAGATAATCATACTATTGAGGATAACTGTGAACGCAGAATTTAATCTGATTCTTCTTCTTCTTCCTCCTCTTCTTCTTCCTCTTCTTCTTCTTCGTCGTCATCGTCAGAATCGTCTTTCTTAGAGCTCTTGGCGGTCGAGGCTTTAGGCTTCTTGTTCTTGTAAGCATTAGATTCCTATGAGTTAATGAGTTGAAAAAGTGTTAGAGAAACAGTAGAGATACAAAGAGGATAGATCAAACTAATGTCAACCTAGACATTGAAATGATTCATTTTTAGTGAGAACTAACCTTTTCATATCTTGCTTTATCTTTAGCAGCAAGAGCTTCGTACTTGGACTTGTCCTTGTCACTTATTACTCCCCAGCGTTTACCTAGTTCCTTAGCTACTTCACCAACACTTGAATCTGGCATAGTTTCTTTGACCTTTGCCCTTTCATCATTACAGAACCAGAAAAATGCTGAAAGTGCTCGTTTAGGTGCATCGGGATCCTTTGCTCGTTTCCTTTTCTTACCAGCTTTTTCACCTTTACTCGGTTTATAATCAGCCATTTCAGTTTGGAAACGTTTCTTGTCTTTTTCCGACATAGTATGGAAACGTTGTTTCTCTTTTTCATTCATAGTCTAACAATAAAAAAAGAAAATGGAATATACAAATTACACCAATCAATCAATAAAAAGAAAATATTTGAAAAAAATAGAAAAAAACAATAAAAAAATGGGTAAAAAATGATATCGAAATGAATAAAGAGAATAGAAAAAAATTAGAGAAATTGAATAATAAAAAAGGAAAGGAAAAAGATTATGAGAGAAAACAAGATTGAATAGAGGAGACGAGAGAAAAGAGAAGAGAAGAGAAGGCAAAAGAGCAGCAGAAAAAAAGGTAAAGAAGAAGAAGGCAAAGTAATAGAGAAAAAGAAAATGTCTCTTACCTTCCATCTATCAGCACATTTTCTTGAGAATTCAGCAAACACCACAGGTTCTGATGGATGTTTCTTTTTATGTTCTTCTCGACAGGTTTGAACGAAATAGGCATAAGCGGACATTCGTCCCTTTGGTTTGGAATCACCACCTTTTCCCATAATTGGTCACTCACTTGAATAGTTAAACTACAAATTAATTGTTAATGCGATAAGAGAACACAAATTCAACCAGTAGAAAACTCAATGTAACTTGGCAATGGCAAACCCAATAGACTCTAAAATGGCTGTTACATTGAAAGAACTTGAATGTCTCAGATCTGCTCGATATTCGCATCCCGGAATCGCATTCAAACCGCGAGTTTTACTCTTCTTTTCTTCCTTTTTTACAGTCAATTTCTTTTTCTTTTTCTTTACATTCTAATTAATTGAGTAATTTGAATCTTCATCTCGATGAAAAAACAATTCAATTGGTTAGAATTTAATTGTAATCTTATTATTTTCTACTTTTCTTTTCTCACCATTAACCGTCTTTCTTTTGGTCTCTCTTTGTCTTTTCCATACCAAATTGTTTTCTTTACTTTAGATTTTTATTGTTTTTCTCGATTATTTGATCAATTCTATCTCTTAACAAATGATTTAATTAATTTCCTTCTGATTTTCAGTTAATTCCATCTAATTGTTACTCTTTGTTTGAAGTTGTGTTAATTTCGGTTATTACTCTATCGATATCTGTTAACTACAAAAGACTCGATACTCGAGTCCTGGTTGAACTTGAAGGTTAACAAATTGATCGAGTCTCTTATGGATCCAAAGACCAACCGGTCTAAAGATCTACACTGCGCCATCTGGTTGATAGAAAAGTCAAATTTTAAAAGAAACTTTTTCTGGTTAGAAAAATCTTAATGAAAATTAACAACAATTAACAAGTTTCACCTCCCAGAGATCAATAATTTCAATCTAATTAATTCAATTTACTAAATTGTTCTCAAATTTGTAATCATTGTACTATTGGTGATTTTACTTTTACTAAGCTGATTTACTATCTTTTTCTTGGCAATTAAAAGAAAAAATTATTTTTTCTAACTGATTAATGTTACGGATTCTGATCAAGTTTTCATTGACAATTGACTATTAATCAACTCGTTGTTATTTATCTTTGTCTTAATCATTTGATTAAAATATTACGAGTTGAACTCGATTGAACTCATTACCTTGGTAAAGATTATTGACAGAAATTGTTGTGATATTGGTTGAAACAAAAACCATGTCTTCAATTAATAGTTAATTGCAATTAACTTTCTATCATTAACTAATCAACAGCAACCACGAAAAAGGGACAAATATTAAGATTAAAATCTTTAATCGTATATTGTAACAATTAACAAGTGGCAACAATTTCCGTCTATTTGCAAACACCATGAAAAGATAAACAATCAACGTTAACAATTAATCAATTGCGGCTGAATTATCATTAATTAACGAGACCGAGAAGGGGAAAAATGTTAATCAACATTGATGATTAACGATCAATTAAATTGACCAAAGTTAAAACGTGTAATTTTTTTTTCTTGATCAACTAATTATTTCCAGTCTTCCATATTAATTGTGATAATCAGATAAGATTAACATTCATAACAATTGAATAGTTATTTAATAATTAACATGATTAACTTGTGATTGATAAGATTGATAAAATCAAAGTGATTCAATTGTAACAATTAAAACCAAAAACCAACCTTGATCAATTGAATGAAAAAAGTTTCATGTTCAAAAAAGTTGATTAACTAATCACAAACAAACAAACAATTTAATCAAATCCAATAAAATCAAATGAAAACTATTCAAGAGGATAGACAACAATTAACTAATGATGATCAATAAATGTCTATCCCAATTGTCCAACAATTTAGAAACCAAAAACGTAAATTTATCAACAAAAAAAAAATAACAATCAACACAATTTAATGAATCAATTGAATTAGATTAACAATCAAATTAACTAAACACAAAGATAACCACCTAAATTAGTAAAAGGAAAATGGGTATTGATTAATTATCACCAAAAAGCAACTAATTAAAGAAAAAAAGTCAACCACAATTAGTAATTGATTGTAGTGATTAAATTAGATTTGAATTGTATGAAAACAATAAGATTAAAACAACAAACAACAAACAAGAATCTTAACAATTTAAACCAATAGTTATTAAAATAATAATAAAGAATCAAAATCAACATAAACCATCAAACAAGGATAATTGTTATCAGCGATTTGATTAATTGTCGTTGTTTAATTTGCCATCAATACACTTGAAATGTGATCATTTGCCTTTTGCATTAGAAACTTAAGTTATTGTCTTTGAAGAAAAAGTTTATCGAGCAGAGTGCAAATTAGAATCAACCTCATATTGGTCCACGATTGTCTATTAATTGTTGATTATTATGATTGTGATTCCTTTTTTCCATCAACTTAATCATCCTCATCACTAATCAGCCTCATCCACCACCATCACCTCCTCCTCCTCCTCCACATCCTATTAATACCTTAACTTTGATGCGACAAAACTTTTTGTATTTTCCTCATCCCAACATCATCACAATCATTATCAAATTAATTGTCATCTTATTGGGAATTGATTGTTTACTTTTGATTGCTTTTAATTATTCTTAGCAATTACCTTTTTAACTTTTTACTATTCACTTTTTAACCGGTTGATTGTTGAGTTTTTTAAAACTTTTTCGTGTCTTTTTTGTTCAATTGTTTGGTTAACAGTTAATTGTTGTGATTTAATTGTTGGTGATCATGAGTAAATATGGAGATAGTCAGGTATTGACATCTATTTACCAATCGTCCATCATGGATGATTATCATTGCCATTCGGGCGATCGATACGATAAGGCCGATACAGTGGCTCGAAAGCGCTTAATCTGGGCCAGTATTATTTGTCTCCTCTTCATGGTGGTTGAAATTGTCGGCGGGTTAATGGCCAATTCACTGGCCATTGCCACTGATGCCGCTCATCTGTTGACCGATTTTGCTTCATTCATGATCAGTCTTTTCTCAATTTGGTACGCATCTCGACCTGCAACTAAACGAATGTCCTTTGGTTACTATCGAGCCGAAGTTATCGGTGCTCAAATTTCCGTGATTCTAATCTATGTAGTGACCGGAATTCTACTCTACTGTGCTGTCCAGCGTCTGGTCACTGAACAATATGACATTCAGCCCACTTATATGCTGGTTACAAGTGCATTCGGATTAATTGTAAATATCATGTAAGTTTCAATTCTCATTGGTAATTAACTTTTCAACCATCAAGTTAATTGATTTCCTTTCAATTGCTTGATCAGTATGGGTGTTGCCTTACAAGCGGGCGGAATACCTCATGGTCACTCTCATGGACATTCACATGGACACTCACATGGATCTTCAGATGAGACCAGTCATCATTTTGATCACCACTCTTATCCCAATTATCACTCAGTTGAAAATGGTGCAGTTAATGGTAATCACCATGGGCACGGAAAATCAAACATCAACGTGCGAGCGGCTTTTATTCACGTACTAGGTGATTTCTTTCAAAGTCTCGGTGTTTTTGTCGCATCTCTGGTCATCTACTTTAAACCCGAATGGTCATTCATCGATCCAATTTGTACTTTTCTTTTCTCCATTCTCGTACTTTTAACGACCTTTAACATAATCAAAGACGTTTTCAATGTCCTAATGGAAGGGATTCCAAGGGGAATCGATTTCGTGAAAGTCTACCAAGTGATGGACACAATTCCGGGAGTAGTTAAGGTTCACAATCTACGAATCTGGTCACTGAACATGGATAAAGTCGCTCTATCGGCTCACATAGTGACAGGTAAGATGGATAATCACCTTGCGAACAATTAAAAGTAATCACAATTTCTCAATCACAGGTAAAGATGAAGATCGAACTCGAATTTTGAGAAAAGTTTCCGATCGATTAAAATCTGAATTCGATATTTTTGAATTAACTCTACAAGTGGAAGAGTATAAAGTGGAAATGGATAATTGTGATCAATGTCAAGTGCCCAACTAATTAAACACAGAATCTTAATTGTGATTTATCTCTGACCAGAAAATGTAATTACCAAGAAGCTTTTTGGTTGATATTCAATAGTTAATTGTTCCTATTGTAAATCAGAAATCATGACAACAGATTATCAGTTGACTGTTAATTCATCATCTACAATAAGTGAAACTTAATTTAGTTAATTAGTCGATGATTAAAAGGAAAACCTATTAATAAGATTAACACTGATAACAATTAATCATTTTAAAAAATCATTGAGAATTTAAATTTCTCATCAATTGTTCATAAGAAAATCTTAATTTTTTGTTTTTTTGTTTCTAATTTGTTTTTCATGAAATCAATAAATCATTCATTAGTTTAACCCAATTGAATTACAATTAATCTCCGATAACTAATTGTTTATTAAACAAATATGGGACCTTTTAATCACAATTAGAAATATATGTATTTACATAAATTGTTAATCTCTAGAAACTTTTTGATCCTTAATTTGTTTTTCTTTCAATTAATATCAACACCTAAATCAAAAAGGATTGTTAATTGTTATCATCGATTGATAATTGTCGATATAATGAAAATTTAAAGAGATCCAATCTTTTCCTTTAGTGATTTCGATATTTTTTTTGTCGTTTCCATTTAATAAAGTGATAAATTTTTCGAGATTATTTTTGGGAGGATGTTGATGATGATTAGAGTATTGAGAGTTTTGGTCAATGGCCAGTGGAAATTTTGAATTTTATCTAATTGAACAACTAATTTTACTCCTAAACAGAATGTCACAAATGCTAAATGAATTGCTATTGAATCATTCAATTGATTGGATCAGGTTTTCGATACCAAAATCTTGCTCTAAAATCGTCTGAACAGGTTAAAAATGCTGGTGATACAGGTGAATGGATGAAATATCTAACGGTATTATTATGTCCTAAACTCAGGAGCTTTTGTCTTTCAGCGTTTCGCGAGTCCCACACACAGAGACTGGTTGTCCTTTCATCGGGAAATAGGACGAAATCTTCGGTATGATTGAAAACTGCTTGTGCTCGATGCATTTGTTTACCCGCTGTTCCGGCTCCCGTGTATGCGATTAAACATCGAGACATCGAGAGTTCCCAAAGTTTAACCAGTGAATCTTTACCAGAGGAGAGAACGTATTTACCATTTCGTGAGAAAACTACCGATGAAACTTCATGGCCATCATGAGCTCGAGGGAAAGTGTTGATACACCTCGAAGAGACTCCATCCCAGATCTTAATGTCACCGTCTTTTGAACTAGTTACATAAATTCCTCCATTGAAACTGTAATTACAGGCAGTTATTGGCCCACGATGTTGATCAGCTGGATTGGGACCAACGTAACCCTGACAAGTATGAATATCATATAAACGAGCAGTCGGATGTTGAGTACCAACTAACAAGAAATTACCAGAGGGATGAAATGACATACACCTTAGCGATGAAGCTTCGGTTATCGTTTTAAGAGCTCGTTTAACCGATGGTTTACCAAAATCATAGATTTTAATTGTTAAATCTTGTGATCCAGAGATAAGTAATGGTTCCGTTGGATGGAAAAGGAGACAAGTAACTTCCTCCAAATGGTCATATAAAGTGCGTATAACTGGGTGATAAGCTTCGGGTGTTTGATTAGACTGAGGATCTTCGGGAATAGTACCAATACTTTTGGCGATCATTTTTTCCACATCCAATATCTTGATAGAGGCATCGTGAGAACCGGTGGCAACTAAAGTACCTTCAACATTGAATGCACCAGCTCGACAAGGACCTAAAAATAGGTAGACCAAATGAAGAAGATGCGAAAGAGATTAGGATTAGAAACAATTGCTAATAGAATCCTGGTAATCTTGAATATTACCTTTATGTGCAGTTACATAGACTGTCTCATATGAACTTGGTTCAGGGGCTGAGGTATGTGATTCAGTTTCAAAGTCTAAATCAATTCCAGGTAAAGGTGGGGCAAGAAGCGATTCCTGATCTTTGGCTTTTCCCTCTGCCTCTAATCCTAAATTAACCAAATGATTAAGACGGTCTGATGGCGGTGATGCCAAAGTTACTTGGATGACAGCGGACAATTGATGAGCAATTGATTGGTATCCATCATAAAACAGTTGACTGTTGATTACAAGAGAAACAATTGAACGGTTAATGAATAAATAGAAAATAAAAGGTAAATAGAAAAACTATCAACAGTTTAATCAGATGAACAATTAGCAACAAAATTAAACCGGTTAATTTCACTCAATCATATGTTGAGTAAATGGCGAGAAAAAAATTACAAATCCATTTACCTGATCATCAATTTGTACAAAGCTTCACGATCCTTAATTGTGGCCGATGGTTTAACATGATGTTGAGACATTGTCACAGTTAACACACAATCAAATTAGAATAGAATCAATTGTTAATTGTGATTTTCTATTCTCACAAACAGAGAGACAGAGAAACACGTTAACAGGAATAAGTAAACAAAGTAAACAGACTAATGTTAATTTCTGTTACCATGGTTCTCACTTTTTCTATAACAAATAAGCTCACATCTTGTGGATTAAAATGATCATTTGAAAATGGAGACAATTTAATTTCCAATTTTAATTTAGTTAAATTGAACCAGCGATCGATCTCAACAGTTAAGTGAATTGGAATAACAAACAAAAAGGTAAGATTATCATTACAAATGAACAGAGTGAGTCTTTGTTGTTGAGAGAAAGTGATTACATTTGGTCGATTGTTTCACTGATTTAATTAATTAATTACTTTTCTTTTCTACTCAATATTCAAGTTAATCTAAAACTTAAAATCAAACTGATTGTTTGGTCTGTTCTGTTCTCGTCTTTAGATTGAAATGTCACTTTGTAGATCTTCACTAAATATTAATTGTTTCTTTTGCTTTTTGTTTTTTTTTCTAAACTGAATTAGATTCCATGGCTGATTATTAATTCTATTCCAATTATTGTCCTGGTCTTTGGAGTTTGATTTTTCTCTTTTGTGTGAACACAAGTAATTGTAGAATTAATCATGTTTATTATTCACACACAATTGTTGTAGAATCGGTTGTGAATCATGAAAAGTGTTTGGATTTCATCTTTTTTTTTCATGTTTTCAGAATTGAAAATAATCTTGGATCACAATGGAATCAAAATTCACTGACTGATTTCAAATCTGAAACTGTTTGAGTTCATCTACGATTTAAAATCTAAATTTGTTTTTCTTAACAATTTAGGTAAAGAGAGAAAATGTTTCATATTGAATATGTAAACCCAATAGTTGAAGAGGTTAATATTCAACCGTCACAAAGAAGCAAAAAGAAGAGAGATATAATTTATTGTTATTTATAATTGATTTAATTAGTTATTGAGTATTGGTTTTCATTGGTGTTGTATATCATACCATTGTTTATTAATTCTTGAAAACATTTGCTGAAAAAGTTTTGACAACTTGTTTTCAATTATTCTTTGTATTTTCTGGTGTCATTGGTTCTTGTATTTCTATTAGTTTCGTTGTTACTTCTTTTTCCATGTCGGATTGTTTGGGTATTTTTCGTAGTAAATATTCGTCTCTTATTACTTCTAGTTTATGGATCTAATTTATTTGCTGTTGCGATGTTGATAATATTTTATATGGTCTTACATACGGTTTGTTAAATATTGCTTCGATTTTTCCAATTATTGTAATTGGTTGATTAAGTTTTACTTTTGTTTGATTCATCGGTGCAATCGAAAAGTAGGGTATCTTTTTGCCGATGATTTTTGCGATTTTCTCAGCAAATAAGAGTCAAAGAGACTCGCGACTTGAGTGGTATGAGTTTGAGCGATACTCAATTGTCATATTAAAATATCAAGGTCATTCAGGTCATTCTTGAAAGAGACCGTTTCAAGGTCATCTGAAAGTAATTCAACAAAGAATGATCAGAGATACTAATGGCAAGTTTTGAGGTTTCTATGAGGTTTGCTATGCACGTTAGATACATGTAAAGGAGATTTGCAACAGTTATTCAAACAAACTGTAATATCTCAAGAACTGTGTCGTCAAAAATCTCTAACCTCATTTCTCTTCCTATTAAGATAAAATTCGAACCTAACAATGATGCGTCTCTCAAAATATCACCCTTCTAACCAAAAAATTGTCAAAATGTCAATCTCTTCCAAATCTCCAACAAAAATCTTAGTTCTAAGTTAAATCCTATAAGCAAGGTTTTCTTTTCTTTTATTTCTGTCTTGAACTTTTCTCAATCTTATTATTTTTTCTCGTCTTTAATCACGATGAAAGCTGGTTACTTGGTCAGTAAACCTCGAAAAGGATTATTCAAAAGCATTTTTGATCGTCCACCAGAGAACCGATAGGGTGAAATGATCATGATGTCGACCGAATATTCCAACCGCATTAGAGGCAGAGAGAAGGAATTTAACACAATCGAAATTTTTCTTGCCTATAAGAATTTTCTTAACCAGCAGTCTAATTCTCATAGATGAAAAGGCCGAAATTTCACAAACAGATAGACGACAATGTCACCTTCAGATGACCTCAAATTTTGCCATTAGTATCTCTGAACATTTTTTTTGTTGAATTACTTTCAGATGACCTTGAAACGCTCTCTTTCAACAATGACCTGTCATATTGGATATATAAACGCAATAGTTGAAGAGGTTAATATTCAACCGTCACGAAGAAGCAAAAAGAAGAGAGAAAAGAGAAAAAGAGATTTTCTTTTTAGATTGTATTTTGTCCGTTGAATGTTTGAATTGGTTGAACGTTTGTTGGTTCGCAACAATTGGTTAGTGGCTTTTTCTTGTTCCAAGCAAGTTTAGGGTCAGTCAAATGTAGAGAAGAGAAAGAAAAGAGAAACAGAGAAACAGAAAGAGAGAAAGAGAAAGAGAAACGAGATGAAGACACAAAGAGAGGCAATGGAATAATATGGCTGCCGGAGAGAAGAAGAGAAAAGAAGAAGAGAAAGAAGAGAAAAGAACGATATTCTTTTCCATTCTCTTTCTTTTTCTTTTTCTTTTTCTTGTCAAATTTTCTCTTCGATTTAATTCCAATTCCTCATCTTTCATTTTAATCAGCGAACAAAATGTTAATCATAATTAGAATTTTCTGTTAATTATGATTAACATTTCATTTTAATTTTCCATTTTTTCTTCGACTCTTTTCCTATTAATCGGCTTTAATATTCTTTGTAATGGATCAATTGATTGGCGGGAAAAAGATATTAACCTTATTCTTTAATAAGAAAAGATATTCAACTTGGTGTTTTGTTAATTGGTGATTCAAATTTAGTTTTATTATTTCTTCACTTGGCTTTAAGACACAAATCAATCGATTTCGATGTAAGATTCGATTTGGTTCAACAGATGAAGTATTGCTCTGATCTTGATTGCTTTTGATTATGACGATGAGACGATTGATAATTAATCCTTTGTGGCATCAATTTCAAGTTCTTTAAGGTAAATCAAGTAAATTGTTGTCTTCGTAAAGTTTATCGGTTATATTATAAGCGGTTTCCGATAGTTCAACCAAAGTTATCATGGTTTGGTTGAGTTTATCCTTATCGTCCCCTGGTTTACCACCAAAGGCTCGTGCAATTAACTGTTCACGATTAGGTAATCCATACATGGCTAATGAAGCGATTTTCTCGGATGATATATAGCTAAAGTGACCTGTTAAGCAGTTCGGACCACATTTCGTTGAGAATTACGCTGCAAAAGTGATCTCTCAATTTTTTTATTTGATTAAGTGAACAATTTAATGTAATCAAGTTAGAATATCAATTGGCTTCCTTATGGATTTTGGAGATAAAATAATGATGGGGAGATTAGTACCTGAATAGTTGATTGGTACACCAATTGTACCATTCCTATCACAAGTACAGGGTTCGAGTATCGAAGATACTTTGGAATACGAAAGACCCAAATAGAGTCGATAATCTGAAAGATTATTAAAAAAATTAACATAATTTAAGTGACGTTAATACTAAAAATAAATCACATTTTGATGAATCAATCGTTACTGGTGGAAACTGAATAGGTCAGGATGTTAGGCCTTCATCGTTAGACACAATCACTGAAGAGATAAAAATAAACTGCTTGGTTATCCTCATGGACGATAGTTAAACATGGTTTTAGTTACTGAATTGACTGTTAATTAAGGGCCTGAATCATTTCAATTGTAACACTTACAAAGAAAAAGCGATTGAACAACATTAATTAAATGATCTAACACTCTGAATTAGAAAGCTCATCCTGGAAAATTAGAGTATACAAAATCATTCGGTAAAGTGACTAAAATTCCGTGAGTGCGTTTTCAATTTCAAAGTGGTTTCAAAGACGAAGCATTATGAAGAGTCTCTTAAAGGCCGAATCGATGGTATATTAGAAATTCCATCTGTAAATATAACAACAATCAAGAAAAACAAAATCGTAATAATTAGTGAAATTGGCGAATCAAAACTCAGACAATTAACAACAAAGCAAATGTTTTACCTGAAGGGGATGAAGAGCATCTTTCAACTCTGGAGCACTAGATGACCCACTGATGACCGCAGTGCTAAACAATAGACTACTAGTTGAACCTGGAAGAATATCGATAGAAAAATAATCATAGATGGATAATCACAATTAACCACAATCGAAATGAACTCACCATAATGAGGTAAATCAGCGAAACTACAAAGAAATAGTTATGAACTTGATTTTCCATGTATTGAATGTCGTTGAGGTTTGTTACGAACTACGTTTGGAAAAGTCGAGACATCAACATAACGGCAAAAATTTGAAACTGAATTGAAAGTTGTGACTTTTCACCATTGAAACAATAATCTCACTGAATCGATTGCCTGAAATCAATGGTAATTTTCAATCGATCCTCTTAACTCACCTTGAAACATTGCAGGTTGAAATTCAGGTGAACTATCATAACAGTTGATCTCAACGTATAACGTGAGACCACATATACGATAATAAAGGCAATTGGTACGCTGAATCAGAATCAGAATCTACAGTAGATTCTGAGCTTTCATCGTTTGGTTCAGTTAAAGAATATTCCTGATAACAAAGAATTTCCCATGATAGTGCTAATTCTCAGTGGTACAATCACAGACAATTTTAGATGAACAGGATGATAATAAGGGCCGAAACTGTTGATGTTGTTGCTATGGATGTGGATGGTAATGAATTTGTTGTTCCCTTTGTTAATCCCGATTTAACTGTAAAGATGAACGTCGTTCAACCGGCGGACATTTGTTATAACAATTGATTATCCTAATTAATATGAAGAAAAATTAAAAACAAAGGTAATAACCATATTAATGAAATGGTAAAATCTTTTTTCTTGTCACATTATGTGATGGATTAACTTGACACTCAAGGTGCTCGAGTCAAGGATAGATGGATTAATCGTCACCAATGTCTCCATTATGAGCGACATTGGTTCTAACTGCAAATGCAACCAATGGTTTACTCTGAATGATTTCAACGAAAAGTTAATTGTTACACTAATAACAAGTGACCTGCCCGTCTACCCCGACGGGTACTAATTTAGAACCGAATGGGATAAGTAATTAGTTTCAAATTAAACCTGAAACCAATAGGATTTCAAAAGCTGCACCAAGTCATTTTAAAGTGATCTTAATTACTTGTATTATAATCAAATTTGATTAGTTTACTAAAACATTTCAACTGATCAAATTAGACCTGATATATGTTGATCATGATTATTCAGATGTAATTGTGTGCTTGATGATGATTAGATTAATATGAATTGTATTATTTACAACATGCAAATGATTGATTAAAAATCCTTTTCAAATTGAAATACTGTCTGAACCAATAAGTATCAAATGATGATGATGATGATGATGATTATGTTATTGTTGATTAACTGTAAACACTTCCAGCTGATTAAATGATTGAATGATTAAAAGATTATCATGATTAACAATGAATCAAGAGTGAATTGAAGATACAATTTGATCGTGACTTTGTGAGACTTGGAATCGCTTATTAATACAGGTAACAATTGATTCAATTCGTGGTGTTAATTGTTAAATAAACATGATTATGTTTTCCTCATCTTTTATATCCTCTCCCTGAAAAATTCACCATCATCATGAAAACTTCTGCTTCTAATTTGGAATACATTAAATTGCCTGATATCTATTGTAAGAAGAGAGAGAGAGAGAGAGATACAAAGAGAATAAATATTTTTACAATAAGCAAATGATTTAAAGGGAAATTAGAGGAAAAATTTAGAATTTTTAACAATTTGGATTCTGTTAATTCCTTTCCCATTGATACAGAAAAAAAAGGAGAGGATTAATTAATATCTATGACATTGAATTCATAGATTTGTCTTAACAATTGTTGTCATTGTTGGTTGATTGTAACCTAGAAGTAAAATTTGATTGAAAATATTTGAAATCAAGGATTTGTTGTTGTTGGAAATACAATTAAGATTGTAAAATAAGTTAAAGAGGTTGAGAAGATGATGATGATGATTAGGATCATGATGAAAAATAAGATGGTAATAGGATGAGGATGTGAAGGTGGAGGTGCCGGATGAAAGGGTGTACACAACATGACACAGTTTTCAAGAGACAAGAATCAAGATCAAGGAGATATATAAGGTAATTAAAAGGTAAAATTGATTGATTGATTAAATTACAACATTAGAAAATAATTATACACAAAGTTGATTGTTATAACAAGAGGAGAATATGAGAGATGAGAGATTTAGAGAAACAATTAAAAGTAATTAGAAGATCTTTGATTTTTGTGGAAGATTTTGCCCCCAATTTGCATCTTGATTAAGATTAATTCGTTTCGATTTTAATTGTCCAGATTTAGTCCGTTGAATTGAAAAATATAATTTATATGTATACAATTGTTTATAGTTGATTCTGTTGGTAGTTTCTTTGTTAATTAATCATCTTGAAGGTAAACTTGAGCCATTGCAATGTCTCCAGTTGATAGAGTTTGAATTGATACATCAACATAATGAATTTCCAATTGATCCGATTGTGATGTTTTAATTGGTCTCGGTGTTGATGTGATAATTGATTGTTTAGTTTCACTGATTGGTGTGTGACAATTACAACTACAGCAGCTTCTTTGTGATAAAAATGATTCCGATGGGCTTAAACTTTTATTATTATTGTTGTTATTGGCACAATTAACCAGCTCTTGAGATTGATTAGATTCACAATCAGATGCATCGTAATCATCATCATCGTCCTCTAAATCATTTCCTCGATCATCATCCGATTCTCCGTCATCCGAATCACTCGACAAATTATTGACATTATGATCTGAACCATCTTTGCCTTCCGATTGTTTTCGAGCCAATCGTTCAAGTTTCTTGGCCACTTTTTGAGTTCCTTCAATTTTGGCCTTAATCTCCTCAGTCATGTCGATAAATCTATTAATAAATATTAAAGAAAGAAAAAGAAAGATAGTCATTAATTAGATCAGATGGAAACAGAAATTAATTAAATAAACTACATGCACTTCCATTAATTATTAACCCCTCTAAGAGAATCAACAAAAAAAAAGATTGATTATATTTATAGAAAATGGATTAAGGTAAAAAATTACAGGATAAACAAGTGAATCTAATTAACTGCATCTCTTGATTTACATGGAACCGACAACTTAATGGATTTCCGGATAAAACATGATAATATTAATATTCATTGTTTTAAGTGTCTTCAATTAAAAAACAGCAACAACAACAATGACAACAATTAATTAATATTTGACAAAAATAAATGTAACATCAATTAGTGAGTGAGAGAGAGAGAGAGAGAGAGAGAGAGAGAGAGAGAGAGAGAGAAAGAGATGTTGAGGTTTTCCTGTTGCTTTATTCAAAGAAACCTCTTGCCTTCCGCTAATTCATTTCAAGCTGATCATCATGTTGATGGTAAGATTATCTTCAGTATCTCTTGAGCTATTCAGCGTTTTTTTACTCATCAATCTTGAGTAAATTTTCAGGATACAATCAACACTTTGAAAGTATAAACAAATCAAGATGAAGATACTGAATAATGATCAAGAAGATTGGGAGGGATGATGATGATGATGAAAGAAAAAAGGTAAACCAAGTGATTTGTCATGGAAAATGGAAAGGTGAAGGTGAGAGAATCATCATCAGAAATTAGCAACAAGAATAATTTACAAAAATAGCATCGAAACAAGGTAAACATGTAATGTGAACATGAGGATGAGGATGAAGATGAAGATGAAAATGATGAAAAATGAGCTAAAGGGAAAAAGGAACAAGAGTAATATAATAATGGCCTGAGAATAGGAAATTCTGATGATTACAAAGATAGATCACGTCTAATCAGCTAACTGTAGATGAGAAGCGTGACCAACTACAATATACTCAGGTCATATTGGTTTTTAGTATTATTTTGGAATCGCAATTAAGGGTTAACTTAAATTGTTATTAAACACAATTGTCCATCATTATTAATTTGCTTTTCGCAAGGTAAACACACTTATATACATGATTTAAAGTAGAAAATGTAAATAAACAGTATCAACCATATTTGTACAGTTTATCTCATTGTAATACATGTTAACGATTAACAAAATAATCTAACCACGTTTTTAAATTGTTTACGAACAATTTGTTATTGTTTGTTGTTGTTTTTATGGTTTAAACTAAATTTTTTTTACTTCTTCTCAAGTTAATCATTTGTTAACCTTATTTGGTTTAATCAAACTAAGAAATAGTTAAATAACAATACAATTAATGATTTGTTAATTGATTAAGAATCACTGATTAACCTTTTTTAGTATATTCTTGTATATTTCAAACTGTGAGCTTTAATTGTATTAGCTGGATCAATCTAGATAATAATAATAATAACCATCATGTAATTGAAAATTTAGGAAAACAAGATTAGTGAAGTTAAATTGTTTCATTAGATTATAAGTAAATCAAACTAAATAACAAATTGATAATCAATCAATTTGATCAATAGTTGATTTCATGAATGAATTTACCATTGACTGGAACCTGATTGTTGTAGTAATCAGTTCAAACGGAAATCAAATTGTTAATAGTTTTAATTTATGCGACTTAATTTTACTATAACTTTGTTTTAAGCTAAGAAATTCAAGATTTAATTGCAAATTATGATTAGCACAATATGATATTAATAACTTTTTTACTGACACAAATTAATAGTAAATATATTAATCATAATGATAATAGCAGATCGTATGTAATAATTAAGGGTAGAATCAAGTTCGCCTACTTTTCTGAATGTTGATTAGTTAATTTTGTCCTTTTTTTTCAAGTAATCAAGTGAACAATTAAGTTAACAACAAAACTAATTTAGACACAAAATGAAACCATCATCATTATTGCTCGCAGGGATAAATTGGATAACAAGATGACAGACAGACAAGCCTTTAAGTCATCATCATCAGAAATGATATTTTGAATTAATTTGATTAATTCATTAGCATTTTCTAAATTTTATCATCAAGAAAGAGAGAGAGAGAGACGACGATGATGATGATGATGATGATATGACGATAATGATAAATAAACCAAATATCGCAATATGATCGAGGTGGTGATATTACACGGTAGAGATTATTTTTCATTCATGAAATATTATCCACAACAATTTGTAAATCTATCTGAAAGAAATGACCATTACCATCATAATCAACATCGTCATTAAAATATAAGATAATTTTAATAATCATCTGAGACTATAAAAAAGTTCAGTTAGAATGAAAATGAGAATAATTTTTACAATTAGACATCACCATATTACTCAGTTTTTCAGTCTCATGAATTTTACTGTTTAAGATCACAAAAGTGTTGATTTTTCATCTCTCCTTTTCTTGATTGTTATTATAATAATAATAATTGTCATTATTATCAAATTAATATGATAATCACCAAGACAGAACGTGATTTGTTTCAAATGCATTCAACTTCAAAGTATATGTTCATTTGTTCATTTTAGGTTAACAATTTGATTGTCAAATATCTTGAGAAGGTTTTTTTTTGTTTTCTCAATTTAAAATAGCAACGCAATTTAATCATCAAAAATTTAACCATCAAGATGATTATAATTATGCCAGCTGATTCCAGGTAACAGTTAATATAGAAATGAAAACAGAAATCATTGGTCAACGAAAGATTCAAATGTTAATGATGATGATGAGAATGATTTTGGGACAGGAAATAATTGAGCTGGTCAGTAATCAGAATCATCTAAGTGATCAGTTTTATGGTGGACTAATTAGATGATAATTACAGTTAAAAACATCAATTATTCAATGTATGTAATGGTTTAAATTTTCAGTTTCATTTGATTTTAATCTTATAATCACAATCTCTTGTAAACAGTTAATTGTGCTACCATTTCAATTAAATTTGATACAATCAGCAAAGTAACAATTGTCTATCAATCAAAAGTTATTAAGGTAAATTAACTGATTTAACTGAATCAAAGTGAATATTATTCGCAGGGGAAAACTCATTAATTGAGCAAATGTTTTGGTAATCAACTGATTAACCACGTATTCGAGGTTTACAATCAATGTTTACCATTCAACTATTAAGAAAATGGGATATTACTCAAAAAATATTATTCTCATAATCTTAATCTCTAAAAGAATCCAAGTTAATCTATTAGAGTTGAAAATCTCATTGTTTTTACGAGAAAAACATTAAACTTATTGTTTTATTAATAATTTACACTCTCTCAAGGTTGGCTCAAAGTATTTACAGGTAACAAGATGATGCAACTACAATTACAAACCAATACATCACACATACACACTGAGAATGTATTATTATCAATTGTATGATATAACTGAACAATTAATAGAATTGATAAAAATGTAAATAATGTTGAAAATATAAATTCTATTATTACCTGTAGGTATGAACGTTATACTTGAATGATGGAGAAATTTGAATAAATGAATTATCAGTATGAGAGAGTGAAAATATTAACAATTAAAGTAAATAAAGTTACTATTGTTTTGTAGTCACAATTGATAATTTGTTTTGTGACTATTTTCATTTAGTAAACATTGTTACCTGTTGATGTCAATTGAGATGCTATTGATCAGATTACAATTGCAATTGTTATCTAACTTTAATAGATAATAACAATCAACATTCAATATTAAATGGTACATATTTAATATCAATCAGTGTCCAGTGTAAGTGCAAGATGAGATTTAAGGATTAAAAGATTAAGTTATTGGATATTATGTTTATCTGATCTCTCTCTCAGCCATATTTGTAGTATATGCTGACAAATATCCTTTAATAAGTTGATTTGAAAGATGATGCTGATGATTTTCATCTTGATCCTCTTGAAAGTGTGTATGTGAGTGTATTTTATCATCAATTGACCTGATGGGCAAATTGAGATGATGGAAAAAAAGATGAGAAGGAAATTTAGGACAACCCCGTGAGGAAGATTCATCAACATGGTTGGTTATCGGATGGAAACATGATGATAATTATTTCTTCCATTATTATTATTGTATATTTGTTGCCCTTTGAAAGAAAATGGAAGATATAAAACCAAAAGAAGATGTTAATCATGATGGAATCAACTTTTTTTTCTCTCCATCTCTTTTCTACAGGTAAGTTATAAACTAATAATGGGTTTGATTGTGATTAAGAGAGATTAAATTTACTTGTTATTAGATATACATCAAGTGTGAGAAAAGGATTTCATCTCATTTTTCAATAGTAATCAACAAATATCATGTGATAATCATAATCATTAATATATTGTGATTATCTATTCAAAATTGAATATTATTATTTATAATTTAAGAGAAGAAATTACAATTGAAATTGATCAAGATCGATTGAGAAACTAACTAAAAGTTGATTGCTAATTGTAATCAATTTTTGAGTGATTTTTAATTACTTTTATTGAATAATAGTGAAAAAATAGTAATTTAAATGTTGATTAACAGTTTGATAGTTGATTAGCTAACTAATTAGGTAGAATTAAATAATAGAAAACTTGTTTAAACAGATATCAAGTTAAATTTTGAGAACCGTTTACAACAATTAAATAATTGTTGTGAAAGTTGGTTGTACCATGGAAATATCAAGTTAATTACTGATTAAGTTGAAAGATTAAAAAAATTGAATTTGTTTGAAAATTTAAGGTGTAAAAAGTAATCAGAATGAGATTGGAATCAAAGATAAACTCGTAAATGCTTGTTAAAAGTTAGATACAACAATTTAGCATAAATAATTTGATTACATGAATTACCGATAACAACAAAATCAACTAATTATGATCAAAAGGTTGGGAATGATTAATAAACTTAAAAGAATATAAGGAAAAGACATGATAAATATGAATAAGATTCTGAGAGTAAAAATGATCAGAAAACTAAACAAACTGGTCGAGAAATTGAATAATAACAATTAACGATAGATTTCAATCTGATAAAGTTCAAATACAATTGGTTTTGCATTTGAATCATATTATTACCAACATATTGATATCATATTGATTGTAGTTTAAATTATCATGATCAATATAAATGAGACCTTAAGAATAACCAATTTTCCAATAAAAAAAAAGCATTACATTTACCTTGAGGCGAGAAGAGAAAAATTAAAAATGGATAATAATATTTTCTCACAAAAATGGACAATTCAAGATCAACAAATAATAATAATAATGATATTCGATTGAATATTTTCTGAAAAATTCTGCGTTCTAATGGACAATGGTCACTCTAAAGTGTCATCCTTAAAATGGAAGTGATTTGTAAGAAACTTTTGAATGCTAAGAGTTATCATGGTGGAAAAGTTTATCGTAATAAAGAAAATTGAATAAAAAAAAAGTTACATCAAATTCATTGTGAACTCATGAAAATATTAATAGAAAAGTTATCATGACAATCATGATAACTTTATACAGAAAACTCAGTCTGCTTTTATTACAATTTACTCTGAATCGCATATATAAAATGTAATAGATTTTCAATTGCAACAATTGAATTGCCTTTAAAGTTGAAACTAAATTAACCATTAGACGGGTGATTAAACTGGAACATTAAAAGAAAAGTTCAATGTTAAATCTCAATCAAATGTTATCAATGATTTTTTGTTTATCTGTGTAACATGAAAAATCAAGGTAACAAATAGGGATTCAGATGAAAAGACTTACAAAAAGATACACAGAATTTATTTTCATGGTGAAATAAACCAATCAATTTAAGTGTATCATTAAATAACATGATATCATCTTTATCAGTCTCAATATTATCATTCACATCATAATCATCATCATCTTTTTCTGAATAACATCATGATGTTTGACATCAATATTTAATCAACTTGCTCTCTCTCTCTCTCACTTAATTTGATTCTTCGTCTTACTTTAATGAAGAAAAATTTTTTCTCTTTTCATTCTGAAAGACAAATTTAAGTAGCTATAATTGTTAGATTTCCTTATAATGGTTATAATCAACTAATTAAGTGAACATTAGTTAATTTAAAAGCTTTATTAGGCAACATTAATAAAAAAAAAGAAATAAACAAAAGTAAACAAACATTAACATTGATTAATTGGTGAAAAATAGTTTCACCTTGACTAAATTAAACCAATTATAATGTTCATTCATTAAAGAGTTGGTGTTGGATAAATATAACTGAATAAGTATTGACATCATCACTTTAAAAATGTTACTATTCATTTTTAAATTGTGATTAAAAAAAACTATCAACTTTTCATTAAATTGATAACAATTATAATCTAAATGTTGTAGGAGAGACAAGCCAAGAATCAATGTTATCACATTCTTTTTATCATCATTTGGTTTTTTCTGGTAAAACATAAAGAAAAAGGTTGAGGGAGGAAGAGAGAGAGAGAGAGAGAGAGAGAGAGAGAGAGAGAGAGAGAGAGAGAGAGAGACGATAAAGACAAAAGGATGATGAGGTAGGCATGAAAATGGGTAGATAATGAATGAAGGTAACCAAGGCTGTGGTGATCTATTGATTCAGGTCTCAAGAGTTGATTATTTGTTGATGATGATTATGATTATGTCCTAAAAACGTAAATTTTAGACAAGGCTGTTTGATTCATAAAAATTGAATAAATTACTATTCAGGATGAACATTAATAAATTAATCAATAAAACAGAAATTTTTATATCATTCAACTGTTTCTCTTTCCCTTTTTGTTTTCTTGTTAATAGATATATAAGAAACAATAGATTAGGAAGTTAATTCCAATTCTTTTTTAATGGTACTCAGGTTAAAATTTCCATTCAGATAATTATCGTAAAAGTGGTAGATTACATCACCATCATAATCAATATAAGCCAATCTTTAATGATCATTTTACTTGATTAGTGAATGTATGAATCCTTGATCAGCAAACTCAACACAATCATCATCATATTATTAATACTAAATAAGATCCTCTCCAAGATTTGAGATGTGTTCCAAATGAGCATAACAATGGTTAAAACTAATTATTAGATAAATGCTATTAACTAATTGAAAGCTGATTAATTGTTGCAAAAAGAAATAAATTGTTTCATACAATTTAATAAAGTGTAATATTTCAATTGACTAGTTTTGTTTTCTCACACATAGTAACAAATTAACCGTAAACAATTGTTTCTATCCTTTAACCGTTAGACTGACAATCAGGTAAGAAAATAATGATGAGCACTTTTTGCTTGTAACTTTTTCGTTGATGTGAAAATAAGAGTGACAGAAAAATTGATACAAATGATCAGAGAATCAGCTGAAAGTGAAAATTTAGGTTACTCACCTTAATAATCTGATCTCTCTATTACTGAGGATAACTTGTTTCGACTCGGTGTTGTAAAGTTTTTGCTTTAAATCGGTAACCTCCATGTCAATTTTTCGTAACTTTTTACTTGTTTTCACCTCTTCAGGTTTAATCTTTGATAGAACTGCTTCTTTGTTTAATTGTAAAAGTAGTTCTAAATATTCGGGTCTAATTGATTTATTCATTGAAAGGTAAACATCAGGAACCAATGGATAAACATCCCAAATTGCCGAGTAAATCATATCTTCGGTTAAAGGTCTATGGCTCCAGAATTTTTGATCTCGACGGAAACTTTTCTTTACCGCTTCCTTTCGTGGACTAAGGGTTATGTTTGCATACAATTCACATAGTGATTGTAGTGATATAAATTTAGATTTGTACACAGGTTTACCATAGTTTTGCTGTTGTAACACCGAATGAGCCACTTGGGTATCAAATACATTGGTCAATTTAATTCCATGTTGAAAGTAAAGTGAACTGGAATCATTACGAACATCATGGAAAACTTTTATCACATTGGAAGATTCTAATAGTCTTTTCAGGCAACCGGATAGAAAATCGGGATTAAATAGTACATCGAAAATGTATATTTTCGGTGTATTTCTATGTCCATGAGGTAAAGGAACACGAACACCATTAGTATAATTGGTGTTACCACCGTTCATTTGATTACGATTATTCTTATCGTTTGTGGGTGAAAGTGGGCGAGACATGACCGCAATTTCAACTAATGTAATCGAACCGGAAGAACCAAGGTTAACACCTTCACAGTCAATGGCAACAATTGATTCAGTGTTGATTATATCATTGACAATCTCTTCGCCCTCTTTTGTTTTGGTCACAATTTGTGTACATCGTAATAATGAAGTATCAGATGATACACTAGAATAGGATTCTGAATGATGATGATAATGATGATTAGGTGAACATGGATTTGTTGATGATGATGATAGAGAGGAAGAATGATTATGCTGGTGATTATTATTATATAAATTGTTACTGTTGCTATTAAATTGTGAATGGTATGGTGAGTTTTTGGCTTGGTTAATATAACCATTTTTGTACATTGATGAAGCATTTTCAGCCAAGGCTTTCATGATTTGTGACCTCACTCGTTGTTGAAATGATCCCGCTGAACTAACTCGAGATGGTGATGATACTGGTGAGGCACTTGACACGGGAGACATTGATCGAGGAGGTGTAAGGCTGTTGTTACTACTGTTGTTATTACTATTTCGCTGATTATTATAATTTTCATTCTTATGGTTGTCCATGTTGTTATTATTGTTACTGATGGTTGATCCATTGGTGTTTAGCTTCAATCCATTATTAGTTACTTGACCACTGCGAATTTGTTGCTCTCTTTCTGGTGTTAAACCAACGTAAATTGATTGAACGTGAAATAATTTCGAGTTCATTTTAAGAAGTGTACACAGATCATTGGTGTTATTAACCATACGGGACCAGAGTTCATTTGCATGATTATCTTGCATAAAATTAAATAATTCATCTAAAGTGATAGTTGTTGGTGTTTCCATGTTGTTTTTATCATTACTAGGACTGTTATTATTGTTGCGGTGGTAATTTTTATCGTTATTGTTATTGTTAATGTTGTTGTTGTTGTTGTTGGCACGTTGCTTTTCACATTTCTTATTACATAAGGTGAATACAACATTTTCTAATATGTTAACGAGTTGCTGCATCAGGTAGGGGTCAATTGAAACCTCTTCGGGAACGCGACGAATTGTTAACTGTTCACCGTCAGGACCAACTTTCTCGAGAACGGTTTTCAATACGACATAATCATCGGTAACGACAAAGATTTCAGGAGTTTTACAAAGGAAATCTTTGAATTCTCTTGCATGTTGCCCAGAAACATGTCGAATCTCAGGTGGAGCTTGAGACCGATGACCGAATAAACTTTTTATTGGAACTTCGGCGTGTCCATATTGTTCCAATTTTTGACGAAAATAATCAGCAGCTTCTCTGCTATAATCCGACGCTCTTTTGTAGCGTCTTTGCTAACCATATTTGTAATGTAAACCTGTTAGAATAATCATCAAAACCAGGAAATTAAAATGAGAAAGAGAGAGAGAAAAAATTGAATTCATTAGAGTTCTGAATTTATGTTAGAAGCTCAAGTCATTGCAATTCTGACAAAACATAAAAATCAAACCAATCTAAGCTTAGATTTCACCTTTTTGTCATTGGGCTCATGAATTATTCTGCTCTAATAGATAATTCTACATAGATAGAAAGAGAGAGAGAGAGAGAGAGAGATCATTTGGGTGATGAAGTCAGTTTTTTTGCTCTACAAAAGTCATAGTGTTTTTGCAGAGTTAAAATAGATAAAAAAAACAATCAACTAGCGAGAAAAGTAGATTACATGGCAAAAGGGGTGGACAAAATTCTAGCATAAGTTATTGATTGATTTGTGATAGAGGGAAAGAATCATTATATAATATCATCACCCAAATCTTCACCACCATTATCATTACCAGTAAAAGAAAAGTGAAAAAAACAACCAAAATCAGGTAATGTCATTGACTCTGATACGATTTTCTCTTTTCTATTTTTTTGTTAATCTTTTCTAGTTGATGATTGAAAAGTATATCACACATAATGTACTTGTATTTACCTGATCTTCTTCAATAGTGAAAAGTGATGGATATTGTGATAGAAATTTTCTCAATCCTCTTTGAGATCCACCAGCGATTTGTCTCATCTCTTTAGTAAATCCTTTGGTACCAAATTGGCACGATAAATCATGTAAACTTCTCGGCTGACCTTTGTCCATCAATCGATCAAGAAAAAACATCAAGGTCATGTTACGAATATATTCATAATCCGAAGAATCCATGATTGCTTAATCTCCTCTTGTTGTTTTCACTTTTCTCTATCACTCACTCTCACTCTCTCTCTCTTCCTTTCTCTTTCTCTTTTTTTCTCGAATATAAAAGTTGATTGGTGTCGATAATTAGTTGACAATATTTTCAATTGCTCCTTTGTTCCGTACAACTCAATATTGTACCAATGATAACAAGTTAAATGAGCAGCAATTAGTAGATAACAAAATGGTTAACACACCGGGTACACAATAAAAATAGAGCCACACAAAGTGTTGTCAAGAGAAAAGATATAAACACAATATCACAAAGGAGCAAATATAAAGATGAAAATTGTAGTTGATGATGAAAATACCAGACATGAAACAACTAGAGAGGGAGAGAGAGAGTCACACCAAAAATAAAACCAGCGAGAGAGAGAGAGAGAGAGAGAGAGAGAGAGTCAGAAATAAACCAAAGGTAACAATGAAACCAGGGAAACAAAAAAAATCTTGTAGTTTTCGGCTGAGTAAAAGAAACAGAAAAAGAGATGATGATGATGATGATGAGAGAGAGAGAAAAAAACTTATGTTGGATCTTTGGTTAAGGTTATTGAGTTTGTTTCCTTCTCATCCTCATCGGTGTTGATGTTGGCTTCAAGTTTTGTAGTTGATGTTAGGAAGTTGGTTTACACTAATCATCAATGATGATGGGGGAAAATTGTAGCAACACAGAGAAACAGAATTGTTCAAGTGATATATCAAGAAAGAGAAGAAGAGAAAAAAAAAGTGAGACAGAAAGAGAGTAAGAGATGGGAGTAGATAGAGAAAGAGAAACAAGGACAGAAAGAGACGAAAGGTATTTAAAAAAGGAGAGCATAAATTAGTAGAAGATCACTAGCATCCTTTTATCAGCTTACACAACAAGATTATCAGCATTTTTCGTATGATAGTTTGACAAATAGTTTCAATTCAACCTGACGATGTCCATCTTGAAACTGGAAAAACCTCTCTGAATCTTTTTTTCTCTCTCATTCTCTCACTCGCTCACTATCTCCATCAAGGATGATGACCTATACCAGAAAAATTAAAGGGAGAGAGAGAGGAAAGAGATGTAGAAACGATGATGAACAAAGATGATAGAGTCTCTTTCCTCCTAACGATCAATGAATTGAGAGAGAAGGAAAAATTGGAAGAAAGAGAGTTGCGATCCGGTTAACCAGTTTACTCAATTCTTTACTTTTCTCAAGAAGATAAAATTTCTAATTCATTTCTATAATAGCGAATAGTACCAATACTTTTGTCGATCATTTTTCCACATCCAATATCTTGATAGAGGCATCGTGAGATTCGGTGGCAACTAAAGTAACTCCAACATTGAATGCACCAGCTCGACAAGCACCTAAAAATAGGTAGACCAAATGAAGAAGATCAAAAGAGATTAGGAATCCTAATTTAGGATTAAAACTAAACTCCAATACGAACTTACGGAAACCTCTTCACTATCGCCATCTATTGACGTAAGATTAGAATAAAAGTTGGGGAAAGTTTAACTTTTTTCGCTTCTGATAAATTTTAATTTAATTAACAATGTTAATTAAAAATGAAGTTTCACATTAATTATGCTTATAGATTTGATTTGATTTAAATTCAATTCAAATCAATAAAAATCGTTTTGGTTTCTTCAAATGAAAAAGGTTTTCTCATTTGAAAGTTTGGTTTCTTCAATCGGGAAACACTGTATTCAATTCACAATTTAAAACAGTTCAAACTGCTTGATTATTGACAATTTATCGCCTTTTCTCTCCCATTTATTGGTTTAGATAATAAGTTAATTAATTGAACTTCGCTTTCTTGACTTTCGCTTGTATGCCCTTCGTTCAAATGAGCCTTTACCAACCAAATGATTAAGACGATCTGACGATGCCAAAGTTACTTGGATGACAGCGGACAATTGATGAGCAATTGATTGGTATCCATCATAAAACAGTTGACTGTTGATTACAAGAGAAACAATTGAACGGTTAATGAATAAATAGAAAATAAAAGGTAAATAGAAAAACTATCAACAGTTTAATCAGATGAACAATTAGCAACAAAATTAAACCGGTAAATTTCACTCAATCATATGTTGAGTAAATGGCGAGAAAAAAATTACAAATCAATTTACCTGATCATCAATTTGTACAAAGCTTCACGATCCTTAATTGTGGCCGATGGTTTAACATGATGTTGAGACATTGTCACAGTTAACACACAATCAAATTAGAATAGAATCAATTGTTAATTGTGATTTTCTATTCTCACAAACAGAGAGACAGAGAAACACGTTCACAAGAATAAGAAAACAAAGTAAACAGACTAATGTTAATTTCTGTTACCATGGTTCTCACTTTTTCTATAACAAATAAGCTCACATCTTGTGGATTAAAATGATCATTTGAAAATGGAGACAATTTAATTTCCAATTTTAATTTAGTTAAATTGAACCAGCGATCGATCTCAACAGTTAAGTGAATTGGAATTACAATCAAAAAGGTAAGATTATCATTACAAATGAACAGAGTGAGTCTTTGTTGTTGAGAGAAAGTGATTACATTTGGTTGATTGTTTCACTGATTTAATTAATTAATTACTTTTCTTTTCTACTCAATGTTCAAGTTAATCTAAACCTTAAAATCAAACTGATTTTTGATCTGTTCTGTTCTCATCTTTAGATTGAAATGTCACTTGTTGATCTTCACTAAATGTTAATTGTTTCTTTTGCTTTTGTTTATTTTCTAAACTGAATTAATAGATTCCATGGCTGATTATTAATTCTATTCCAATTATTGTCCTGGTCTTTGGAGTTTGATTTTTCTCTTTTGTGTGAACACAAGTAATTGTAGAATTAATCATGTTTATTATTCACATACAATTGTTACAGAATCGGTTTTACCATGAAAAGTGTTTGGATTTCATCTTTTTTTTTCATGTTTTCAGAATTGAAAATAATCTTGGATCACAATGGAATCAAAATTCACTGACTGATTTCAAATCTGAAACTGTTTGAGTTCATCTACGATTTAAAATCTAAATTTGTTTTTCTTAACAATTTAGGTAAAAGAGAGAAAATGTTTCATATTGAATATGTAAACCCAATAGTTGAAGAGGTTGAAGAGAGAATAGAGAAAAGAGAAAAGAGAAAAAGAGATTTTCTTTTTAGATTGTATTTTGTCCGTTGAATGTTTGAATTGGTTGAACGTTTGTTGGTTCGCAACAATTGGTTAGTGGCTTTTTCTTGTTCCAAGCAAGTTTAGGGTCAGTCAAATGTAGAGAAGAGAAAGAAAAGAGAAACAGAGAAACAGAAAGAGAGAGAAAGAGAAAGAGAAACGAGATGAAGACACAAAGAGAGGCAATGGAATAATATGGCTGCCGGAGAGAAGAAGAGAAAAGAAGAGAAAAGAGAAAAGGGAAAAGAGAAAAGAGAAAAGAACGATATTCTTTTTCATTCTCTTTCTTTTTCTTTTTCTTGTCAAATTTTTCTTCGATTTAATTCAAATTTCTCATCTTTCATTTTAATCAGCGAACAAAATGTTAATCATAATTAGAATTTTCTGTTAATTATGATTAACATTTCATTTTGATTTTCGAATTTTTATTCGATTCTATCTTCTCTTTTCTCTTTTCCTATTAATCGGCTTCTATATTCTTTGTAATGGATCAATTGATTGGCGGGAAAAAGATATTAACCTTATTCTTTGATAAGAAAAGATGTTCAACTTGGTGTTTTGTTAATTGGTGATTCAAATTTAGTTTTATTATTTCTTTACTTGGCTTTAAGACACAAATCAATCGATTTTGATGTAAGATTCGATTTGGTTCAACAGATGAAGTATGAGAAGTGAATCATCATTACTTTTGGTGTTCGGCTTCGAAATGTGTGTGGTGATAAAAATGAGTTAATGATTACAATTTAATCGAGCTGATAAAGGGCCATAAGGAGAAAAAGATGGTGAGTGGAAAAAGTTCAAAGGATGAGACAAAAAGAATAATTTGATGATTAGACCAAAATAATGAAACACTGTCACTGATCCAATTGGATGATTGCTTTAGTCCTGTCCATATGTGTGTTGGTGATGATTGTAAACTTTTAACGCAAAAACAGAACCAATTAGTTGAAGAAATTAAGACTAATTATATGACAGCTTAAGATTGAAAAGGGGTTTGAATATGTAAAAAAAGCGATCCGATGAACACACCAAGAGATGAATAGAACTTGGATGGCCAATGAAATCACTAATTTCTTTCCAAAATTTTGCCGATAAAATAAGATAATCATACCATTAAAGGAGAACTGCAAACGCAGAATTTAATCTGATTCTTCTTCTTCTTCCTCCTCTTCTTCTTCCTCTTCTTCTTCTTCGTCATCGGAATCGTCTTTCTTGGAGCTCTTAGCGGTAGAGGCTTTGGGCTTCTTATTTTTATAAGCATTAGATTCCTAAGGATGAATAAATTATCATTTTATAAGTTAGTTAGATTAATGAATGATTTATCTTGAGTGACCACTAACCTTTTCATATCTTGCTTTATCCTTAGCAGCAAGAGCTCCATATTTAGACTTTTCCTTGTCACTGATCACTGCCCAACGCTTGCCTAATTCTTTAGCTACTTCACCGACACTTGAATCTGGCATAGTTTCTTTGACCTTTGCCCTTTCATCATTACAGAACCAGAAAAATGCTGAAAGTGCTCGTTTAGGTGCATCGGGATCCTTTGCTCGTTTCCTTTTCTTACCACCTTTCTCGGAATCACTCGGTTTATAATCAGCCATTTCAGTTTGGAAACGTTTCTTGTCTTTTTCCGACATAGTATGGAAACGTTGTTTCTCTTTTTCATTCATAGTCTACCAATAAAAAAAGAAAATGGAATATACAAATTACACCAATCAATCAATAAAAAGAAAATATTTGAAAAAAATAGAAAAAAACAATAAAAAAATGGGTAAAAAATGATATCGAAATGAATAAAGAGAATAGAAAAAAATTAGAGAAATTGAATAATAAAAAAGGAAAGGAAAAAGATTATGAGAGAAAACAAGATTGAATAGAGGAGACGAGAGAAAAGAGAAGAGAAGAGAAGGCAAAAGAGCAGCAGAAAAAAGGTAAAGAAGAAGAAGGCAAAGTAATAGAGAAAAAGAAAATGTCTCTTACCTTCCATCTATCAGCACATTTTCTTGAGAATTCAGCAAACACCACAGGTTCTGATGGATGTTTCTTTTTATGTTCTTCTCGACAGGTTTGAACGAAATAGGCATAAGCGGACATTCGTCCCTTTGGTTTGGAATCACCACCTTTTCCCATAATTGGTCACTCACTTGAATAGTTAAACTACAAATTAATTGTTAATGCGATAAGAGAACACAAATTCAACCAGTAGAAAACTCAATGTAACTTGGCAATGGCAAACCCAATAGACTCTAAAATGGCTGTTACATTGAAAGAACTTGAATGTCTCAGATCTGCTCGATATTCGCATCCCGGAATCGCATTCAAACCGCGAGTTTTACTCTTCTTTTCTTCCTTTTTTACAGTCAATTTACTTTTCTTTTTTCTTTAAATTCTAATTAATTGAGTAATTTGAATCTTCATCTCGATGAAAAAACAATTCAATTGGTTAGAATTTACTTGTAATCTTATTATTTTCTACTTTTCTTTTCTCACCATTAACCGTCTTTCTTTTGGTCTCTCTTTGTCTTTTCCATACCAAATTGTTTTCTTTACTTTAGATTTTTATTGTTTTTCTCGATTATTTGATCAATTCTATCTCTTAACAAATGATTTAATTAATTTCCTTCTGATTTTCAGTTAATTTCATCTAATTGTTACTCTTTGTTTGAAGTTGTGTTAATTTCGGTTATTACTCTATCGATATCTGTTAACTACAAAAGACTCGATACTCGAGTCCTGGTTGAACTTGAAGGTTAACAAATTGATCGAGTCTCTTATGGATCCAAAGACCAACCGGTCTAAAGATCTACACTGCGCCATCTGGTTGATAGAAAAGTCAAATGTTAAAAGAAACTTTTTTTGTATGTAAGTTGAAATCTTCGAGCTAATAATGAGGACATCAGGCATTCTTTGATTATTTACTTTCAACAATCAACTGGAATTAGCGCATCTTTACCTGTGATTAAGAAATTGCGACTTTGTGAACTGATAGAGCGACTTTATCCATGTTCAGTGACCAGATTCGTAGATTGTGAACCTTAACTACTCCCGGAATTGTGTCCATCACTTGGTAGACTTTCACGAAATCGATTCCCCTTGGAATCCCTTCCATTAGGACATTGAAAACGTCTTTGATTATGTTAAAGGTCGTTAAAAGTACGAGAATGGAGAAAAGAGAAAAGAACGATATTCTTTTCCATTCTCTCTTTTTCTTGTCAAATGTTAACCATTATGGGAATTTTCTGTTAATTATGATTAACATTTCATTTTGATTTTCGAATTTTTATTCGATTCTATCTTCTTTTTCTCTTTTCCTATTAATCGGCTTTAATATTCTTTGTAATGGATCAATTGATTGGCGGGAAAAAGATATTAACCTTATTCTTTGATAAGAAAAGATATTCAACTTGGTGTTTTGTTAATTGGTGATTCAAATTTAGTTTTATTATTTCTTTACTTGGCTTTAAGACACAAATCAATCGATTTTGATGTAAGATTCGATTTGGTTCAACAGATGAAGTATGAGAAGTGAATCAACATTACTTTTGGTGTTCGGCTTCGAAATTTGTGTTAAAAATGATTACAATTTAATCGAAATGATAAAGGGCCGAAAGGAGAAAAAAAGATGGTGATGGAAAAAGTTCAAAGTTTGAGACAAAAAGAATTTGATGATTAGACCAAAATAATGAAAACACTGTCACTGATCCAGTTTGGATGATTGTTTAGTCTTGTCCATGTGTCTGTGTGTATGGTGATGTTTGTAAGCTTTATAACGCAAAAACAAAACCAATTAGTTGGGGAAGAAATTAAGACTAATTTTATGACAGCTCAAATACCGACAAGGTTGCAAATATATGAAAAAGTGATCCGATAAACACATCAAGTGATGATAGAACTTGAATGGCCGATGAAATCACTATTTGCTTCCAGAAAGTGGCCGATAAAAGAATCATACCATCGAAGGAGAACAGCGGAAACAGAATTTACTCTGACTCCTCTTCTTCCTCTTCTTCCTCTATTTCATCATCGTCGTCAGAATCATCTTTCTTGGCTCCCTTAGCCGTCGGTGCTTTGGTCTTCTTATTTTTATAAGCATTAGATTCCTGTGAATGAACAAAGATTATTATTTTAGTTGAGTGTGAAAAAAGATTAATGAATGATTCATCTTGAGTGACCACTAACCTTTTCATATCTTGCTTTATCTTTAGCAGCAAGAGCTCCATATTTAGACTTTTCCTTTTCACTGATGACTCCCCAGCGTTTTCCTAGTTCCTTAGCTACTTCGCCAATACTAGAATCCGGCATAGTTTCTTTGACCTTTGCCCTTTCATCATTACAGAACCAGAAAAATGCTGAAAGTGCTCGTTTAGGTGCATGTGGATCCTTTGCTCGTTTCCTTTTCTTACCATTTTTCTCGGTATCAATAGGTTTGTAATCAGCCATTTCAGTTTGGAAACGTTTCTTGTCTTTGTCTGACAAGGTTTGGAATTGTTGTTTCTCTTTTTCATCCATATTCTAAAAAGAAAATTAAATATAAAAATTAAATCAATCATAGAAAAAGTTGATATCCAAATACATGTAGATGGAGAGAATAGAAAAAAAATTATAGAAAAAGATTCACATTAAAAAAAGAAAGGAAACAAAAGATTATTAGAGAAAATAAAGATAGAGAAAAAACAAGATTGAGGAGAAAGACGAGAGAAGAGAGAAGAGAAAAGAGAAGGCATAAGAGCCACAGAAATAAAGGTATAGAAGAACAAATAGAGAAAAAGAAAATGTCTCTTACCTTCCATTTATCAGCACATTCTCTTGAGAATTCAGCAAACACCACAGGTTCTGATGGATGTTTCTTTTTACCTTCTTCTCGACAGTTTTGGAAAAAATAAGCATAAGCGGACATTCGTCCTTTTGGTTTGGAATCACCACCTTTTCCCATAATTAATCAATCACTTAATTAGTAAATCTAAACAAATTAACTTAACAAGAGAAATCTAATAAACTCTCAAACGTGGCACAGCTAAAGTATTGCTAATCGAACCAATGATTCGATTCCATCGATGCATAAAATCGATCTTTTTCCTCGATGATAAATCGAACCCAAAATATCGATAATCGTTTCCTCTTTTGTGTCTTTTAAAACTTGCGATTATTTGATTTCTCTGAGAAAATCTCGCGAATTTAAGAAGAAATGATGAGTGAATAAAAAGATCTTATTGATCAAAATAAATGAAAAGTTCAGAAAATTATAATAATTCGACTTCTAAAGAAAAGGATCGCACTAATCGCTCTGAGTGCAGTTCGAGGCCTTTTCGTTTTTTTCCTCGACTCTCTCGAACTTGCCTTTAGGTGTTTTTATTTTTACTATTGTTCTACTAAAATCTCAGCTGCATCACCCATTTTTCGTAGTCGTAGATTGATAATTCTTTATAGCTTCGGTTAAATGAGAATGGTTTGACTCTAAGTATTGTGGTTTCAGAGATATTGGCCCACAAAGATCAAAGGCCACTCTCTCATTTCGATAAAACTTGATGATTAACTTTCGTACTTTTCATATTTTACAATCTAATGTTATTGGTGTATCTCAAAAGTGAACAGGTTAATATTCATCCATCACAAAGGAGTAAAAAGAAGAGGTGGAAATGAGAAAGAGAAACGAGATGCAGACCCAAAGAGTGGCAATGGAATAATATGGCCGCCGGGGAGAGGAAGACGAAAGATGAGAAGAGGAACAGAGAAAGAAAAATAAGAGAGAAAACGAATAGATGAGTTGAATTGTGTCATGTTTTATTCAATTTTTCACTTATTTGGGAAAACATTGATCATGTGCTTTAATTTAGTCCAAGATTAAATTATGGACTTAAATCCATCTCAACATCGAGTCCACTTGCATTATTTTCCGTCTCGTTTTCAGAAAGTGATCGCTCGAGGTCATTATCATCTAGTAACGCGTCGTCCGTGGATGATTCATCAGCTAAATTGCTACTTGCAAAATATTTCTTCATATAAGCTTCATCTTCATATAAAGGTAATTCATCTGAACAAAAGAGATAAAGGAAGTGAGAAAGAGAGAGAGAGAGAGAACAAAAAATTAATAACTTGAAACAGTTTTCTCAGCAATTAATAGACTCAATCAATTGGTATAAAGGAGAAATCAAAATTTTGTTACCATCCCATAGACAGAATTCAGTTGATAAATGTTCCATACATTTGTCCAACATGGTTTTTGCACATTGGTCATCTCTTTTTAGTCCCAATGCCTACGAAAGAGATTGAAAAATATTGATATTATTTAAACGAAAGAGTTAATTAGATTATGACTCACTTTATGAAAATAATCTACAGCTTTTCGATATTTTTTCTTCCAGGCATAAACAAATCCAATCGCTGAATAAGTTGACGGATTCAATGGTATCAAAACTAAGGCTTGTTTATGGTATTCTAAAGCTTCATCATATCGTCTGTGGAAAGATCAATAAAGAAGGAAGAAAAATTAATCAATTATCAAGAAAATTATCATAATTGTTGACTAACTTTAATTTTCGTAAAACGTGTCCAATGTTATTAATCAACGGTTCCCATTTCTCAGGTAAACAAGTTGCATCTTGTTTATCTCTTATCAAACTTAACGCTGAGGTGAAATGTTTATAAGCAGTTTGGTATCTGTAGTAATTAAAAGGCAAATGAGAATCAAAAAATTAGTAAAACATCAAAGTTAATCAAGGAAATGATTTAGATAATAACTTACTCTTGGATTTGATAGGAAATGACACCTAATTCATGTAAGACGAAAGGATCATTGGGAGCGATGGCTAAAGCTTGTTGGAAAAATTTCTCAGCTAATTTGTTATTATCAGTTAATCCATATTCAAGTCCGATATAAAGTAAGGGAAGGTGACAGCCTTTCATTAGATGTGACGCTTTAAAATAAGCGGCCATTGCTTGGTCGTGTTCACTTTCAATCGCGAATGAGTGACCATAAAGAAGCCAAGCTGGACCGAAAACATTGTCTAAAGTTGTCGCTTTACTCAGGAATCGCCTCGCTGCGTCCATTTTGTTAATCATGAGATAATAACAACCAACTGCATACCAAGATGTCTATTAGAATACAATTAGAAATTAGAAATTGGAGTTGAAAGTCAATCGAGTTGACCCAGTTATCGATGTTTCCGTTTTTTTCCGTCCTTGAAAGGGTTGAAATAACTTACAGCGTTTTCTGGATAAAGATCAACTAATTTATGAGCCAAATCAAAAAGAACTGGAAATATGAAGATCAACAGATGAGGGATTAATTAGATTAAAAGATTAATTATAACCAGTGATTTACTTACGATTTGTTTTTTGTAATTCCATGAGACATGATATGTGAATTGGTAAACATTGGGTATGATAAATATCAATTTTAAGAACTCTAAAAGTGAATAGTGAGAAGAGAGAGAGAGAAATTAATCCTAATTAGATTGTGTATTTGATTATGGTTGATTAATTGATTACTTACTTATTGGTAAGTTGGAAACATTGTTGGAAATCACAGTTATAATAATGTCGTTCTGCTAGTGAGGTCAATATATCAACATTATCGGATAGAAAATGGGAAAATTCAATAGGAACTTGAAGTTCATCGGGTTTTGCATACTGAGAATTAAACAAAATAATTAGTGTAAATGATAAACAATCTAAACAATTACGAAATACTTTTTTCAATGCTGATGTGTACAAGAACTTAATAAAACGAGCTTCCTCTTTATCGAACTGGTTCTCAAACCTAATGGAAGACAAAAGATCCTCTTCTGTAATGAGAGAGAGAGAAAAGACAATTGATTAAAATACGATGAAAATCATCAATTGTACCACAAGACGGATGACAATTTAAACCAATTTACCTTCTTGTTTATTGAGCATTTGGTGTTGAACTAAAGCCTCTAGAGCTTCATAACAATAAGCATCTAAAAGAAGCGCTTTTTTGAACCATTCAACTGCTTCACCTCGATTGTCTAATGCTTCATAAATGTGACCTTTAAGTAAACAAATTGAACTTTCCAATTGCTGCAGAGAACAAAAAAAAAATGAATAAATTTCAAAATTGATCAGTTAATCAACTAGTACAATTTGATATTCACCTTATGCTCTTCACGAGTCTCTAATTCCAAGTCCATTTTCTTAAGAGGGCCAAGGTTTTCATCGAAATCCAATATTTCAAAAGCTTCTCGATATTCTTGAGCTGCATACTAAGAACAAAAAATGAAAGAATAACAATCGTTAGAACATTAAAATATAAAAGAAAATGAACAATCAATTGAATTTACTTACATGAGATTTAGCAGCAAGGTAACGACAGGCAAGATCTATTTCATGGAGATTTCTTGATTTAATACAATGTGAGGCTCTATGATACTCTTTAAGATAATAGAAACACTTAGCTTGTTTTAGAACATCAGATTTATCACAATTAGAGAAAGAAAGTATTTTATTTGACCAATATAAAGCGGTTTTAAAATCACCAATGTCCATCATTTTCATAACAACGGATCGGAGTTTCTCAAAAATAGGTTCATTGTATGAATCATTACTTTTATAAGAATCACTCATGATGACGATTTAAACTGAACAATTCTGGATGACCAATATAAAAGAAAAGAGAAACAGAAAATAAAATAAACAAAAAAGTAAATCAGTAAATCAAATTAATTGAGAAAATAAAAAGTAAACAATAGAAAATTAAATTTCCTTTCAAGTGAAAAAGAAAACGTTACATTTATTCAAAAATTGGCGCAAGAACAAGTGATAAGTGAACTAACAGATGGCAGCATCTTCCATCCGGAATCTTGGATTAGATTCAAAGGGCGAGTCGATTTTTCGAATCGATTGTGTGGGAGAGTCGATGTGGTCGATTATTTCTTTTGTCGAAAGAGAAAAAGACAGAGTTGGAAAAGTAAGAGAAGAAAGGGGAGGGGAAGTTAATTTGTGGGGAAAAGAATAAAATGATTAGTTGGAAAGAGAAAAGAAAGAGAATAGAAAATCGATTCTTTTTGTTAACAAATCGATCGGTTGACAGATGGAATTAATATCGATATAAGATCGACCATTTTTTAGTTGAGAAGAGAATTAATTTTTACCTTTCTATTTTCCAAGTTTGACCCTTTTATTGCCCTTTAATTAATTAAATTAAGTAAACAAATTTGTCTTAATTATTTTTATTATTTAAATTGTGTTACTCTTGAAATCAGCATGGCAGCAATTTCTGACAACCAACAACAGGAAAATCAACAACAACAAATAGCTTCTGGTGATCAACCCTTGATGATAAAACAAGAAAACCTATCAGCTTCTGGAGACCAACAACAACAAGAAAATCAATTAATAGCTTCAAATGACCATTCAAATGATAATCAACAGTCAATTACTGGTGACCAGCAACAACAGCAACATGATAATAATGGTGAAAAAGCTCCAAATGATGAACCCGAACAATTCAGGAAATTATTCATTGGAGGTCTTGACTATAAAACCACTGAAGATACATTGAGAGCACATTTTGCTCAATGGGGTGAAATTGTGGACTGTGTTGTAATGCGAGATCCACAAACAAAAAGATCTCGTGGTTTTGGTTTTATTACTTATAGTAAATCAACAATGGTTGATTCAGCTCAATCAGCTCGTCCACACAAAGTGGATGGCCGAGAAGTTGAACCCAAACGCGCCGTTCCTCGTGAGGTAAGAAATAATTTTTATTTTCTATTCCAAAAAGAAGAAACCAAAAAAAAAATTCCTCTCTCTGTCTCTCTGTATTTCTATTTCTCTATCTTTCTCTTTGTTTTTCTTTTTTCTTATCTATTTATATATATTATATATAAAAGATTCTTTCACTTTTTAAAATGATAGTTACTATGATCGTAATTTTCTGATAATTATATTATGATATATCTTTAATTTCTTAATTTGTTATATGCTGAGTTAGGAATCCGGTAAGCCCGAATCACAGGCAACAGTAAAAAAAGTCTTTTTAGGAGGGCTTAAAGAGGATGTTGAAGAGGAAGATCTTAGAGAATATTTCAAACAATTTGGTAACATTGTCAATGTCAATGTAGTAACCGAGAAAGAAACCGGAAAGAAACGAGGGTTTGCCTTTGTTGAATTTGATGACTATGATCCAGTGGACAAGATAGTCCTGAAGAAGCATCATGTAATTAAGGGACGAAAAACTGAAGTTAAGAAAGCTTTAGCTAAACAAGAAATGAACAATTTAAAACGTAAGGCCGAAGCTAGACATATTCCCGCCGGTAGAGGAGGCCCGGATAATCGTAATGCTCCCGTTTGGGAATCAGGTCCTTACAATAGTGGATTCGGCGGTGGTTACGGTAATCAAGGGGGTTGTAAGTTATCGTTTTTTATTGATCAGATCCAAAGAAATCATCCAAGCATCTCTCAAGTATCATAAACCTAAAAGCGCATGATCAATTGATCGAAGCTTCGACGTAAAAATTTTCTCTTTTATCTAGTTCAGTTAATCTAATAGTTTTTCTATATTTAGATGGTGGATCTTACGGCGGTGGCTATGGCCAAGGGTATGGTCAAGGCTATGGTAGTCAAGGATGGAATCAGGGTAGCGGTGGATATGGTTAGTTGAAATAAGCATTTCTAACTCTCTCTCTCTCTCTCTCTCTCTCTCTCTCTAATTCATATTAATATTTGCATCTCTCTCTCTCCTTGATGTTGATGTTGTTGATTTTGTTATAACTATTTGACATTTTAATGAAATATTTTTCTTTCACTTCAATCTTATAGGTGCCGGTGGTGGTGGCGGCGGCGGCGGCGGTGGCGGTGGATGGTCTAGTGACTATCCCGGTGGCTACGGTGGCGGTAGCGGCGGTTATGGCAGTAGCGGTGGCTACGGTAGTGGCGGCAGTGGTGGACCAGTTCGTGGCGGAGGCTATGCTCATCGAGCCAGTGGACCGTACGGAGCTATTAAAGGAGGTAACAAAAAACCATACAAGAAGATGATGAAAGATTGAACTATTTCGTACTCTCTCATAAATTAATAAATAACCAAATCAATTCGTAAAAAAAAATTCAAACACACACACACACAAACAAACAAACATACATACAAAAAAAATAAATAATCAATTGAATAGTTCATTTATTAATATTATTTGGTTCTCTCTCTCTCTCTCTCTCACAATGTTTAGTTTCTTTTTCTAAATACAACAATTTTGACAAGTATCTCCAATGTTCACAATTAATCAATTAATCACTTGCATCATCTCTGTATGTGTATAAATCGAATACTTTTTATATTAAATAATTTGATTAGCTTAGTAATTTGATCAATTTTCGATCACTTTAATAAGCTTTTTGCTCCAATTAATCAAAACAAAAACTTTTCCGCAGTTTTCAGCCCAAATCAACTCATCCAATTCAAACAATTAGCTTCTTTTAACAATCAACATAAACACTTCACAATTACTATGTAAACTTTTGGGCATATCTATTGACCAATCAATCAGCATAGATATTAAAACTTTTGTTTTTTCAATTGATAAACTTTAAATTGTAAATTAATGATTGATTTTAATGATTTGAAAAATTCAATTGATTTTAACCCAAATGTCAATATTTTCAATATTGTTTATCTTTCCACTTAATCATTATAATTACACCAATTAACATTTAGATAATCGCACAGTTGTTGTTTAAACAAAAATCTTGAAACAATTAATGAAACATTTTTTTCCTATAGATTAATTAATTGATCATTTAATTAAGATCAACATCAACAATCAAGCAAAAGTAAAACAATTCAGGTAACAATTGAACCAAAAAGCCAGAATGTTAATAAGAAATAATCAATTTTTTTGCTTGAATATTGTCAACCGTTAATTGAGCTTTTTTTCCAGTATCTAATTGTCTAATTAAATTAAATTGTTCCATTGCATTTTAATCATAATTAATTTTCTGTCATTAACTTGAAACTTTTAAGCTCATGGCGACATCTATTATCTGTAAACCGAAACTTTGAGATTTTTAATTTTCCTCATTTCAATTAGTTAATAAATTGTTTTAAATACTTTCATTTAATTGTCTGACCGATTAATGTTAATTACTCATTAGAATAATTAATTGCTCAGATTGTGTTTCTTTTTTTAATTGTTGTTTCTCTTGTCACTTTGTTTTACCCTTTTTCTTTCAATTTAACTTAACTAATTTTAACCCAAACACTTTGATCCAAATAATTGATAATCTGATTGAAACAATTTACTAATTATTTTTCTTATTTTTTCAGAACGTTAATTGTATATCTTTGATTGGTGGCTGACCCTTTTTCCTTTATTGATCAACTGATTACAATTACTTGGGAAATATGAATCACCAAAAGGCTGTAATAAGTCAATCAGTAAGTGAATTAACAATTTGACTCTTTAATCAATCAAATAGTTTTACTAACAATTAATTTTTCTCATTTATGTCTAATTACTTTCCAACAGATAATTTAAATCAAATTATGTCAGCAAATTGAAGATCAAGCACCAATCAAAATGACCAAGTAGTTGGACTGGACAACAATTACTTGATTAACTGCTCCAATTAAACAAGTTAATGATTGGTTTTCTAAAACTAATTATTAACCAATGATGCACTTTAATCACTTATTTATCTACTTGATTAACCCTAATCAAAGGTTAATCTGTAACAATTAAAATCATAACTCGTCGACTTGGTAATCAGATTTGGAAAAGGATATTTGCAAATTGCAAACAAACAAACTGAATCTCTTGAAAGAATCAATTTAAATCAATCAACTTTAAATGTTAAATTGTCACTAATCAGTGATAGACAATTGAAATCAGTTAATTACGAGGATTCCAAACTCCTATTTTGGTCAAAGGAATCAATCAATTTGCTTTTAACATGAAAAAGTCCCATTGGATTGGCTATTTTTTGGATTCCAAACGAAAAGATCAATATTATTTTTCCGATCAATTTTTGAGAGATAAACTTAATCCGTTAATCTATTACCATTAGTCTGAATTTTTATCAAAAGTTTCTAAAGAAAAGGCTTGAGGGCAATTTCTTGCGGTCATTTGGTCAATCATTGACTTTCTAAGAGAATCAAATCCAGTTAATTGATTAGAATTCACTTTCAGTTTCTCATATTCATCTAATCAATCGAGATTCCATCTAATCACCAATTTGATCAGAACCAAATCAACAATATGAATCAGAATACAATCATTAGCTTTCTTGATAATCGATAAATTCAGAAAAGTTCAACCAAAACAGTAAAATGAGTAAAAAGTAGACGAACTTCAATAAGTAAATTTTTTTTCATCGAACTGTCCAAATTACTTTGAACATTTATCCAAACAGAATCATTAATACAAATTTTCAATGGCGAAATAAAAAAAAAAGTTCAACCATCAGATTTAATGGATTAAAATTTGAATCCAAATTATGATTAAAATCTCGGGAATGATTCATTTAAATTGTTGAAAAGTGGATGAAAAAAAAAAGTTGAAATACTTGAAATTGAATTAACAGAATTCAGTTAAAGGCCGACCTTTGATAATATAATAATAATATGATATTATAATCATTTCTTTTGAATTGTAAATGATGATCATTAAACGATATGAATACTGATCATGATAATCTAACAATAAGAGCGCTGAAATATTAAACATCCGCCGACGCCACCTTCACCCTGACCATAAGCACAACCATCATCACCTCCTCCTCTCCTCCCTCTCGCCCTCCTCCGACTATAAAGCTCAGGTATATTTACCTGAGAAGATATAATGATGAGGAAGAAGAAGAGATTAAGAGAGTGAGAAAAAGGTCATAATCATTTCACCCAATCCATTATTATGGAAGAAGAAAAAAATTGAAGAGAGAGAATAAAAATCCAGGTAATGATTATGATGGTGATAAGTTGATCCTCTTAATGATGATCAGCATCTTTGTTGTTGAATCACCATCATCATCATCATCATCATGATATATACCGATGATGATGATGGTAAATGGTAATGATAATGATGATTTTCAATTCATAGAAGTGATAATAATATCATATTATTATTATATTATCAAAGGTCGGCTTAATCTCTAACTAGATGTTACCTGTTAATCTTGATTCTCAATTGATTATAAGTTTCTCTCTCTCTCTCTCTCTCTCTCTCTCTCTCTCTCTCTGTCTTCAGGTTGATGAAGATGGAGATAAGGAAAGATGATGCAAAAAGAAAATAAGAAATAATCATCAACAATTAAAGAAGAAGATGATGATGAATGGATTATCCTTCCAATGTTTTAATAAATATTGAACTTTTTTTTCCAGATTAAACATGATGGGTGATTAAGATGATCAACTTAGATAATGATGTTGATTAAGATGATGATTAGAATTGAGATTATGATGATTTTTGATGCTTCTGTTGATTGTTGTTGTTGTTTTTTTTCAATGAATAATTAACATGATAAGTGTTTAACCTTTTTATCCTCTTTATTTGATTGTAATGATTAACTGATTTCTCTTCACTTGTATTAATCTAATCTAATCCTAATCAACAGGTAACCAAGTTAAATTAACCAAAAAAAGTAACTAATTTACTGAGTTACCTTTTAATTTTATAAACATTTGTGGGCTTGCCACTTATTTTTAATGAGTTTGTGTTAATTAAATTCTTGATTATAATTATCTAGATTATATTGATTAGTAGCAACAACTATTTTTGTTGATTTTGATTATTAGCTGATTAAAGTTGATCAAAACAATGTAATTAAGGTGAGTACTTTGGGTAAGCATCAGTTTCTCAATTATAATCAAATTGCATTCAAGGTAATTAATTGTTGTTAAAATTAAGCTTTTCATTAATAGGAGGTGATCAAAATGATTACTTATTATTATTATTATGTGTTTAGTTTTACACTTAATCAACTGAATTAATTGTTTAATCATCAATTTAATAATCAACAGCGATAGTTGGTTTTTTTTTCTGGTTACAAGGTTAATCATTTGTGTTCCTGATTGATGATTAACCTTTTCCTATTTAATTGGGCTCATTTTCATACAACTAACTGCTAGCAATTAGTTGTCTAAATTACAATTAACTATTAGTTTGATTATAATTAACTGATTAACTCAGGAGTGTATTCATTTGTATTGTTGTGTCTGATCAGCATCAATTGTTAATTTACTAATTTCCACAGTTAATTAAACAATTAGTCAGTTTATTGTCTGATTGATATTTGATCAATCAAATATCCAATGATCATTGTAACAATTAACACTAATTAGATGTAAAATTAATCAAAGTAAAAATGTTATGATGAAAATGATTAAGTTAATTGTTATCAATATGAATGAGAAAAAAAATCGTGAAATATTAATTATATAAAATTATCTCAAAGGTAAATTGATAGGCAAGCAATTAAACAAAACTTGTAACATTGATTGATTGCAGTAGCAATTAATTGATATAATCAAGGTGCTAACAAATTAACACTAAACAACCCACAACAATTTAAACAATCAAAGACAATTAATGATTTAAAATAACAACAATTTGATATTTGATTTAGATTAAGGAAGCAGCAAAAGTAAAGAGGAAAAAAATATTTCTATCAACAATCAATGGGATTAAGAAAAATAACTGAACAGATTAACAAATGATCAAATTTAATACAATCAATTACAAAGGATTATCATGGAAACATCATCATCATCATCATCATCATCACCTTTGTCATCATACAGAGATGAGGATAAAACTTGAAGCATGATGATGAACGTAAGGGTAACACAGGTAAGTAGGGATGGAGATTAAGATTAGCTGATTAAATGATGTTGATTGGGAGCGAAAGATGATCAATAATGTTAACAACATCATCAATCAGTTATCATCACAGGTAAACGAATAATATTCATTATCATCGTTAACTTTATCATCTTAATCATCATCATCTTTAAAACTTCATCACTAAATGTGATCATCATCATCATCATCATCTTCCTGTAATAAGGTAAACATAAACAAAGAAGTGGAAGAAAATAAAAAATCAAAGTTAACTAAATTGTTACCTTTAAACAACAATCAACAATCAACACACACAGAAAATATTACAAAATGGTTAATAAGTTTAACTTTAAATTAGTTGATTGTTGTTATAGTCAAATTAAAATGACAGCTAATTATTAAAGGTAAAATGGATTGGCTATTTTAGATGTTGAGTAAAACATTGACCACTGGCTCTTTATTACCTGTTGATTAATCTGCACGCAATTGAAAAAAAGTTAATCACACAATCGTAACAATCAACAATCAGCTAAACAGTAGCACCTTAAATCACATCTAATCAAAAGACATTATCATTATACATCATCAGAAAGTATTAATACAATAATGAACATAATTAGTTAATTAACTTGTCTATAAAATAATAAATTGTTACCATTAGATTAATATTATATATATTTCAGATGAAAGAAAACATAATTAAGTTAACTAATGATTAAAAAAAATGTTTTGAAACAATATTACAATTTAATGATAACAATTGAAATCTTATTGTTTAATCATAATCATATTAATCATTTGAATTAACTGACAATCACAAAGTATTGAAACGGGAAAACAACAAATGAAATATTAATTGTTGAGTAAATTAAATTAAATTGTTGGTAACATTCAACTCAACATATTCATCAACTAAATTAACAATTTAACAGTTAATTTTAATCTAATTTATTGTTAAATATTAATAATTTAGTCCAATTGTTTCAGTTGGAAATTGATTTTCATGGTAATGATGATAATTTAGTAAAACAAAAAACAAAGTTAACAGTTAACAATTATCATTTCTCACGAGATTTAAATGATAATTGTTATACTTTACAATTGTTATTAACAGTTAATAGCAATTAAATATTAATTTAAATTGATTCATTCATCATAATAACAACCTGAAAACTGTTGATTATTGTTTTCCAATTGTTGATGAATTTTGTTTTTTCACTTTTCTATTGTTTAGCTTAAGGCAATAAGGTGAAATCCGGTTTACTCCTAATTTGTTTGCCATTTATCAGTGTCTTGATTATCATCTTCTCATCATCATCATCATCATCTTAATCTTAATCTTTCATCCTCTCTCTCTCTCTCTCTCACTCCTCCTTTGGGTTTTGTCTTAACACCAGTGGGAGGTGAAGAGGATTCCGTTTCCTTTTAAGACAAAGACTGAACCTCTCTCATGATTAATATTCATCCTCATCAACCTATGGAGTTAAAATTATTACTTTCTCATTGATATTTTCTGTTGATAGTGATTAGTGGTTAACAGGAGGTTGATTGTTACAATCAACTGATGATAGTTTTTGTCTCTAACTAATTGTCATAATGATATTACTTATAAATACAATTTAAAAATCCATTAATCTTATAATATATTGAAAATTAACATAAGCTTACAATCAGAATTAATTGTGATCAATAATGTATTTGATTATTATTACCTTTCCATACTGATTAAGATAATTTCTTAAAATGATTAAGGTTAATTATCTGATCCAATTAAAGTTTAATGAGGACAAAATTGATCTAATTAAATGACCAATGTCCAGAGTGTTTATTGCTAAAGACAATCAAATCATTGAAAAATTATATTAACAATAAGATGTTAACAGTTTAATGGTTATGAAATTTGCTAACAATTAATTAACTACAACAATCAACATGATTGCAAAAGTGTTAATCATTTTTGATTGATAGTAATTTATTAATCACTTTTCAATGACAATTGACAATTTCAATGTTAATAGTGAACATTTATCACTTTTGCAAAAAAAAACAAGGAAAATTCAACACAAAAGTTTAATTACAATCAGTTAATTGTAATAATTTACTATGAATATTGTTGTTTTTTTTAAATTGCTTATTGTTTTTACTGGTTGAAAACAAGACAATTAAATTAATTGTTTCCCCTACAATGGACAATATGATCAATCAGATTAATTTGATTGGGAGTTTAATTGATGACAGGAAATTTGTGAGAGCTTAAAATAAACTCAACCAATGAACAAGATGAAGATAACTAAGACTCCCTGATGATTTCCACTTCCGTTATCTTATTATATTGTAATATATTCATCATCATCCTCATCATCTTCCTGATAATGATAATGAAAATTGATGATGATTTAGATAATGATATCAATCAGTTTAATCAAGGAAGTCTAGTTGAGTGGAAACAATGAAATCGTTTAAATGAATTATGACAAAATTCATTGTCACCATTCATTTACCTTGTAGGTAAAATAATTCCCACCCTCAAGAGTGACTTCACCTCTCTCTCTCTCTCTCACCCACTCCATCATCATCACCACCATGGATTGAAACAGCAAATCATATCAAGAACCCACCCTGTAATCTCCTGTATTAATATCCCACCTCAGCATCTCTCACTTTGATCACAATTAACATCCAATGAACAGTCACTTTATCATCTTACCAATTAATCAATTCACAATTAAAACAATAAATTTCCTCTTCTTTGTAAATTATCACGTTAATGATGATTAAAAATCTTAATCATTACATTGATATTTTTTTATTATCTATTGATTATTGATAATGATTGATTAATATCTCTCTCTCTCTCTCATCCATTAATTAATATCAATCTTTTTTGTTCAACTGTTAACATAATCAAATTGTTATTAGTACAAATTAAATTAGTTCCTCCTATCAACGTTTAATTAGTTTAATTGTAATTATAATTGTAGATACTGATGATGATGATGATATGAGGAGGAGGGAGTAACAATTAATTGTAAACTGTTAATGATACTTAATCATAATAGACACCCAATCAGCATAATATTTAATAGCTAATATATAATTTTGTCAACAATTTGATTATGTTAACTACACAAGGTAATTATATCTTTACATGACAATTTTTTTTACCTTGCCCACTCCTCTTGCCCACCCCACTGTCACTTTCTCACCCACTTAATATATATTAATGAAATGTTACCTGTGTCAAATTGACAACAGCAACAAAGTGAAAAGCTTGTTATCATCATCATCAACTGGCTAAACCAATTCAATTCAATTGAATTGACTAAATTGTAAACATAATGTAATATAACAATCAGGAATCAATTGTTTACCAAATAATAACAATATCAAACAATTTATCAATTATTTTCAATATTAATAATAATCGTCAATGAAAAAGGATGATAATGTTTTTGTTTGTTTGTTTGTTTGGTTACTAGATAAAAATTATCATCACTCCCACTCATCTACCTTATCTCTTGACCACCGCCCATTACAATCAATGTAATCATCATGATAACTGTATAATATTAGATTAGGGGGCAACTCTTTCAAAGATGAATGATAATTAACTTATCAATGAAATTCTAGCTCATTGTGTTGGTCAAATGTCCAGTTCATCTCTCATCATCTCGCCATTTTCCACCCACTTAAAGGGGAATAGAATCTAATTAAGTTCCTTACCTTGTTATCAGAATAGCATCTTAATCATTATACTCTTTTCATCATCATAATCATCATCATTATCTCTCTCTCTCTCTCTCTCTCTCTCTCTCTCTCTCGAGTTTGATGAGCTTCTCATTGGGAATCACTCAATTTCTCAGCAAAATAAGATAATATTTCGATCACCATGATGATAATGATGAAAGAGAGAAAGAGATGAAAAGGTCAATTTCTTTTATAATTCTCATCTTTTCTTTGTCTTCTTCTTTTTATCATCATATTCTTATCATCATCATATTAGAGGTAACTTTTTGTTTGATGAACTTTTTTCTTTCTCTTTCTCCTTCTCTTTTTCTCTCTCAAAACTTAATCATTTGTTGTTATTTTAACTCTTGTGGGTGGAAACAATAATCACCTTCCCACCAATAGTAAACCGACCAAAAGGCGGAACTCAATTCAAAAAGAACCAATCAAATCGAGTTATCAATTAGCTACTGACCAGTTCAGTTTACCTTTTCATCAACCATTTACAGTGAATTTGTTATCATTTAAGAAGAGAAGAAGAAGAAGACAGGAGAATAACCTCTTTCATTATCATCTTCATCTCTCTCTCTCTCTCTTCCAGATAATAAATCAGATTAAGACCTTCCCATTTCTCTTTCTTTTCCTCTTTCTTATCATCCTGTCTGTCTTTATTTACTCACATTCAAGTTTGTGTAAGCTTAGGTTGCTTAATAGAAAGGCCTTAGGTAACCTCCTCCTCCTCCTGATGATAATGTTATTGTTGATGATAATGATGATGATGATGATGATGAAGATAATGGAGTAAACCTGAGTTACTCTGTGCAAACTTTTCTTTCTCTTTCTCTCTCTTTCTTTTCATCATCATTCATCTTCACTTCATCTTCAAGTTTACCTTTTAAAAGTTACCTTTAAGTTTACCTTTTTTTTTCATTTCTATTTTTTTTTCCTCGTAAATTGTTTATCTTTCAATTATATTGATCATTTTTGTTTTAATTGTTGATAAACAACCACGACAATTTAACCTTAACCTGGAATAGTAATTAATTGTCACACCATAAATGATTATCATCATCATCATTTAATTGTTGATTCAATTACTGTCTAAATTTAAGTTTAAATACTTTGTTTGTCTTCATCATCATCATCATCATACCAACAATATAATTGAATTTAAAAGTTAATCATGATCATGATTTACCAACGACAATTAATTTGATTGAAATATGTGCAGCCTTTTGTGACAATTAACTTAATCATCAATCGTTTATTTATCAATTAAACATTGAACAACAACCAATTGAGGATTTTTTTGTTGTTGTTATTATTTCATCTTAATTGTTAACAATCAAGAAATGATTTTATAACAATACATTTGATAGTGTGATCGTGTTGAATTAATCAATAGTCAATAATTTAATTGTGCTAATTGTGATCAGTTTATCTTAATTAATCATGGATTTAAGTACCAATAATAGATCACCAAGTTCACCTTCAAAAAATACTAAGATTAACTCAGATGATAAGATTAAATTTAATATCGATGGATTAATATCAAATAATCACAATGAAAATAATGTTAATCATAAAATTAGTAAAAACAACAATCAAAGTAAGTGTTAATTGTTTCAGTTGAAAAGTAAAGAGTGTTAATTATTAACAATTAACTTGATCTTATTATCATCACAAATTTACAGGTAATAAAAGTAATAAACGATCATCAGAATCTCCGGTCAACCAGAATTCATTGAATAACAGTAATCATGTTAATCATGAATCAACTAATCACAATCATAACAACAATAATTCACAGTTAATGACAACGACGACAACTTCATCATCTTCATCATCATCAACAACAAATCCACCATCACCACCAACAACAACAATTACAACAGCATCGATTACAAATCAACCTCCACCGGTGGGTATTGTGGGTGGCGGTGGTGGTGCTAATCACACTAATGGTGCTAATCTTGGTAATGGAGGATTATCCATGGTGCCAATGAATCATCAACTTAATCCATCAACATTTAATAATCCATTGAATCCATTCATTAACAACAGTTATCAAGCATCAACTGTAACTAAATTATTAGGTAAGACTTTTAATTACTTTTGATTAGCTCACACAAATGATTGATTGATTATTGATTATTGTAAAAAAAAACTCCGAGACAATCAAATTGAATGAGCAAAACTCAACCAGAAAGGTTTCAATGGTTAATTAACATGAAAATCATGATCACTTAGATTGCAATTATAACAATTAACCGATTAACAGTAACATTAACATTGTTTACTTTTTTTTGTTACAATTTAAATGTCATGATTAACTAATTACAACTATCATAACCTGACAACTTGTGCTAATAAGATACAAACTCTAATTTGATCAATTAACTAACCTTTTTTTTTTAATTGTCAATGTGATTGAAAATACAAAATAGCAACAATTAAGAAAATGAATAATATCATGAAATATTATCAATGGGAATTGAGATCAAACTAGAATCAAGGTAATAGTAAAAATGAAAACAATTAAATCAACAAATCTAAACAAAGAAGAAAAGTTTAATTATCCCAATCAACTGTTGTAATTAACCTAATCAATTAATCAATATCCATGATTGAGCTCAATTGGGGATAAAATTAAGGCAAAAACAACAACAATCAGCATCAATATTAATATCCAAATGGACAAACATAGTAACAATTTACAAACTCATAGTAAATTTATTATCATAATTTAAATTGATTGTTGTTACTTTTGCATAATAATGAGTGTGATTATCATTAACATCATCATCATCATCATCAATTGCAATAAAGGTGTAAATGTTTTAAGGTAACCAGTAGTTAGATACAAATTAATAACAACCTTAACAATCAATAACAGGATGATAACTGTGAAAGGAAATAGACAATGTCACCTGTTTCCGGTTATTAGCATGACTACTCTTAATGATGCTAATGAAGATAATGATGATTACAATGATGATGATGATGATGATGATGATTAACTATTATCATTGATAAATATAGAGGTGAAAGTAAAATTCACTATCATTGGTTGTAGTCAATTCTGATTACCTTTACTTTTTTTTGCTCATTCACATTAACAGATCATCAACTTTACCTCCCTCACTCTCTCATTCATTAATCCACCACTCACTCTCTCTCTCTCTCCCTCTTTCTCTCACTCTCTCTCTCTCCATGAAAACAAATTGAATTCAATTTTCAATTAGTTTATTTGTGAACAATTTAAAAATAACAATAACATAACCATTGGCAACCTTATGATTATCAATCAATAGGAACTTTTCATTTTCTCATAACAATGATCACTTATCCAATAATATTGTTATTCAATTACTACCTGAATATATAGTTACCCTGTTTGAGAAATTGAATTTTCATAAAAAATGATCAATTCAATGATGATAATGATGATAAATTGTCAATTGTCAACTTTGTTTTGTTTTTAATATAATCAACTACAATATAAAAGGTAATGATTAATCAAATCCTATAAAATTGATTGTGATCACCATGAAACATGCGTACGTCAATTTAGTCAAGTTAATCAATCGATAAATTTTTTTTTTCTGTTCTCAATATGATTCAATTGATTGTTAATTCATTTGCTTAGGTATTCATTCAAAGTGTAATCATGAAGATGAACATGAGAAAACAATAGTTACTGAATTGAAGGAAGTTCCTAAAAGTTGAACTTTTTGTTTTCTTCTTGTTCAAAAAAAACTTCTTAATTGTAATCTATTGTTTTTATCGGTTAATTGTTGATATCGTGCTGATTGGTTGTAATGTTATAATATTATCTTAAAGGTAATTAGGGTTCCAAATGAAGTTAATTAGTCAAGTTGAGTTTTCTCAGGGCTTAGATTATCATTATCATCATGATTGTTGTTATTATTTGTCAATTTTTTTTTGCTGTTGTTTTTTCATCTTCATAATCATCATCATCTCACCTTGATTATAGGTTATGGTGAAAAGGTAATTCCTTACCCTCTGGAAGGAAATTGACATAAACAATGATGATGATGAGGATGAAAAGGAAGATGGCTCTCTCTTTTTCTTGGCTTTCATTTTCCCTCCCAAGACATAAGCTGCTTCTGTTGTAATTATTGTGCATTTGGTGATTGACTTCATTTGTTTTCCAATTCATCTTACCTGTGCCTCTTTTCCTACCTGTGTTTACCTGTGACCTCAAACCACTATTATCACCATCCGAGCTCATCTTACCTTCACCTCCTCCTCCTCCTCACCTTACCCTCCATGACCAGGTGATGGTAAACTAATCATCATCATCATCATCAATTCCAACACCTTTTCCATGTAAACGTCTCTCTCTATCTCTCTCACTCTCACACTATCCCTCCCACTCTTACAAAGATCACCTTAAATTCAGTTTTGACAATTTTCAATTGTTTTTCATTCACTATTCAATTTACCTGAGTTTCTGTTGATGATTATCATCACCTTATCATCATCATCATCATCATCATCATTAACAACAGACTTATCAATAAGTGATAATGATATTATTATTGGCAAACCTTGAAAGGTGGAGTTGACAACAATTAACTGATCAAATTATGCGAAAAATTTACTTTCACCCAACTCATCATCCACTCACTCAATCAACACGTACTTCACCATGATGATAATCATCATTCTCACAATAATTATATAGGAATGATGTAAAATAATCATCAATATAATAATAATAATGGAAGAGGCAAAAACTAATAACAACAATAATCTTAATCTCTTCGTACTTTTTATTGTTGTTAATCATCAATCCTACAAAATGGATGATTGATCTTAGGGAAATAGAAAATGATTTTCTAGTTTAATTACTTGTTTATTGTTTAACTAAATTGACAACGTTTACCTTTGGTAATAATTATCATCTTCTTAATGATGATAAGAAGTTTATCTTTACTCTTTCTGCTAAGAAAACAATAACATGATAATAATAAGACGATGGCGATGATGATGATGATGATGAAAGGGCTTAAGGTGATTCGATGATTAATGAGCCGATTACATGACCTGTGTACTTTTATAGGTGTGATCGTATTAACTTTTCAACGAGTCCATTTATTTCATCATCTTCATCATCTTCCTAATCCTAATCATCCTCATCACTAATCTCACTCAATTTCATTGTTAACACCTTGATGATAATCAAGGGTGGAAATGATATTTTCTTAAGTCCATTTCAATTTCTCAAAAACAATCAAAGGACTTAAGTAATTAGCTAATCATATTATGATTTAGTTGTCGAATTGAGATTCGAAAGTTTTTCTAAAAGTTTTTTTTTTCGTTTTTTTTTCTATTGACTTTTAGGTCGCTACTACGAAAATACTGCCGCTGGTGGTTTGTTTCGAGCTCCAACTCATTCCTCAGTTATCGGCGGATCGAAGCCTAAAGTGGCCACTCCCGAAGTGGTCGCTAAAATCGAGCAATACAAAAGGGAGAATCCAACGATTTTCGCCTGGGAAATCAGAGAGAGACTTTTATGTGAAGGTAAGTGGTCATTCATTTATTCACACTGACCAGTTGTTATTGATCAATTTTACTCCTTCTCTCAATCAAAACTATTAACATGAAAAAGTCACTCTGATGATTAACCATCAGAAAAAAACTTCATTATTGATTATCCAAGTTAATCACAAATCTAAACTAATCAATTGTTGATCCATCATTTGTTAACAAATACAAATATAATAATATAAACAAATACATCAACTACTAACTGAGAGAGAGAGAGAGAGAGAGAGAGAGAGAGAGAGAGAGAGCCACCAGAATGATATTGATTAGTTTACTTAAAGATTATCACAGTAGCCGATTTGTAATACACAGGTAAAGATTTACCAACTGACCAATGGTCAGAAAATTATCTTTATCATCAATCAAATGAGGATAAAAGTCATAGAGTTAATTGAGTAAACGAGATACACTTTGACATTGCGTTTGAAGTGTTAACTGTAACAATTGAAACCTCGTTAAAACAAAAATCATCTTATTAACGATTGATTAAGATGGAGCTTAATAATGACCTGTTAATTTTCCCGTCAAACGGAGGCCACTTTTGGCCTGATAGATGAGTTTTACAATCTCTATCTTGTTGTTGATGATATTACCTTTTTTTTTACTTTTCTATTGTTGTTATCATCAATTTCCTTTCATTTTCAACTGTCAATTTGCAACCTTGAGTGTTGATCATCATCTTCATCACTTGTTGATGTTTCCATCAATTTCAAACAGTAGCAATTGAAAGTGGAAACATTAGAAAAACAAAACAATCTCATCCAATGATCAGTTTATCATCTCTGTATCATTATCATCATCATCATCCGTTAAATTTACCTGAGATTTAAGGTCAATATTATGGTTTACCTGTTGATAGATTATGTTTGTGGTTACTTTTGAATTACATTTGATTTGTTTCTGTTGCAATTTCTCATGTTATCATTGTAATTGATGTTCATTGTTTATTGTTAATTTGTTTCTTATTGTTTTGATTAACACACAATAACCAAGGGTGCAAATTGTTATTTGATTAGAAAACGTAAGGTCAATATTAACTAACAATTAATCTTAATCGATCAAAATCAAGTTAATTGTTTGGTACCAATTGCAATTACCAACAAGTACAACATAAAGTCAACAATTTACACCCAATAAAAAATAACAATTAATCTGTATTACTATTTGGATTAACAGTGGATTAGATTAATTAACAAATAGGACAATACAAAATAACCCAACAAATAATAAAACAACAGAATCAACAATCACCCAAGTATTACAATCAATTCGTTAAGCTTATAATCTATTAGATGATCTAAATTTAATCACAGGTAATTAAGTGTTAATTCATTATAATGATAAAACAATTAAGATCAACAGGTAACCGAAATCAACAAAATTTTCTGTCATCTCTTTCTCGTTCTTAATAATAATTACATTGGCACTTGGATAAATGCTCTGGAAATTACTATTACCTGTGTAACTTTGAACGTGCTATTAGTAAGCCTACTAATGTGTGCTAATATCAGGTAGATGATGATGATGTTCACAGACAAAAACCACTTCTCTCTCTCTCTCTCTCTCTTGTCTCTCTCATCACTAACCCAAACATATTATTAACAGTTAGAGAGACAAATTTGTGAGTGAAAAAAAAAATTATGTCCATGAAACCAAAGCAACAAAAATGCATAAGATGCATAATTATTTTTGATTACTGATTCTTGTAATATAATCATCACGACTTTGCATCACTTTTCATCCTCCCCTAATTCATTAGGGAGTTAAGCTTAAAGTCATTTTCATCAGCACGTTGGAACGCCTTAGCTGCTCTCTCTCTCTCTCTCTCTCTCTCTCTCTCTCTCTCTCTCATTCTCTTTTGTATAAGAGGGTGAGAGAGAAAGACTAAAGTGTGTGATGATAAGAAAGAGAAGATTATTGAAAAAGAGTGAAAATCCTCTTTCTTTCTTCTCTTTCTTTATTCTCACAGGTAAACTGATACAATTTGCTACTTTGCTTACCTTACACGATATTAATGCCTTTTTTTACCTTGAATCTTAATTACAGTTTACGTTGATTCAACTTCACCAAATCACTACACTTACCTTTGTAAAATTAATATCATTATGATTAAGATGATTATTATCATCTCTCTCTCTCTCACTCTCTCCTTGTGTTAGTTAATGTTAACAGGTAATAATAGTAACAATTAAATGTCCGGTTATGACCCGAAGATCCTTGAACAAAAAGATGACCTTAGTAAAAGAAGAGGAAAAAAAAATGAAACTTCAACATATAAAATCTTACGTTTTAAGTGACAAATTTTAAGACTTTTACTCGTGGTCACTTTCTGGTCATTCATATGATTCTAGAACAATTTGAACTTAATCAATTAATTAAGCAAATTATGTAATCACAATGAGTTTTTGTGTATCAATCCTATTGGATTTTAATTGTTGTCGCTGTTTCCGAACTGATTATATTATTATTGTACTTATCTGATAACAATGGATTCTGTTGTTGTTTAAATTGTTAATGTTGATCTAAATTGTTATAAATGACAATTAGACAGAAAAAGTGTCAACAATAATTTTGTACACTTTGATTATTGTGTTTGTGTCTCATTACAGGGTAAACATTATATCACAATTAGGGAAACAATTATTGATTAACTCAACCGATGTAAATACAATTTGTCAATTCTGTTATAAGGTAAAACTATATCAATTTGATTATGATGATAATAATAATACAATAATCAAAGTTTACACAATTAAATTGTAAAACTAATAATAGTAAATCAGATAACCATAGCTAACATAAATACACAGGTAACAACAGTTTCATTGGGGCATTTAACATTTAATTTGAAAGGCTTTTTTTTCATTGATATCATTTAATTATCATTCTGACAATCATGAATTTCATGAAAGGAATCAAGAATCCAGATCAAGTAGATTTAACAATAACCCACACATAGAGACTGTTTAATTAACTTGTAATCATTTGATTAAAAACTGAATTGAGTTTTTCAAATTCAACCTAATTTAAGTGTTTGTATTTACCTGAACTAAGATGCTCAGTGATTCAGAAACAAAAGTTACACTTAGATATCTTAATATATGAGATGATGATGATGGTGATGAGGAGGAGGAGGTGTGAGGATGATGATGAGATGATGATGATGACAAAAAAGCAATAAAATTGTATCACATGAACGTATTTACCTGTAACGGAAACAAGGCTTCAGGTAAATGGGCTTTTTCCTGTCATCATGAAGATGAAAAAGGATATTAGCATCTTAAGAAATTAATACCCACAGGGAGACAATCAACTCACTTTTCTCTCTCTCTCTCTCTCAGATGACATTGATGCTATTATTAAGATACTAAATAGCTGTTGGAATGAATCAATTGTTGGTGACAATTTCCACTGACAATTTAACCCACCCTCTTTGACGGGAAAAAGTTATTAGCACTTTGATAAGTTAGTTAATAAAAGATGAGAGTTAATAATATACTGAGAGAGGGAGAAAGTGAGAGATTAAGAGGCTCACCATGGGAGGCTAAATCTATCCTCATCATCCTCCTCCTTCCACCCACTCTAATAAATTGCTAAATTGTTTACCTGGGAGAGAGAGAGAGACTTAAATATTATCATCATTAGTCAACAACTTGTTTACAAGGCAAAAAAAAGTTTCAAAAACTCAGCACGTTAACACATAAAAATAATAATAATTAATATCCAAGAGATAATTTTTGTCACAGAAAAAAAGTTTCATCTTTTGTTTTGACAGGTAAATGGTTATCAACCAGGTAACTTAAAGGTAGTTAACACTAAATGATAATGATGATGATAACATTTTCATCCCAAGACTCACCTTGGGGTAACCTCTGGTTATGAGATAATACTAATATCTTGTATTACAATCAAATTTACCTGAGATCAGCTATTGATTAATAGGCGTTAATCATGATCCATTTCCGTTTATCATAATCACTTTATTGTTTATCAGTTTTTTTTGAATTTCTCATCACCATTTCCGTTTCTATTTTATTTCAATACAATAATCATATTGAATATGATTAATGAGCTTATTGTTTCAACTAATGAGATAATAATATCATCATCAAGAAATTACTTTCACTTGATCAGGTAAACAAGAAGAAGAAAAAATTTAATATCATTAATCATTAAAACTAATGAATGAAGTTGAACAATTTACAATTCTGTTTTCACATCATCATCATCATCATCATCGTCATTTTATTGATTATATATTGATGATAATGATACTCACAATTTGCTATTTAAATTGTTTCTGCAATTAAATTATAAAATCGTTTAAAACGATTAATTAACGTAAAAGGTAAAACAATTAACGATTTCTTTGAAAATCTTACATATTAATCAATTAATATTCAGAAAGAGTTGATGATGATAAGATTTTTATTAATGAATCTCTCTCTCTCTCCATCACAATGAAAAGATATACAATTAATAATAATGATGATAAAACATTAAGGTAAAAATGATTATGACTTTTTTGCTGTTTCCTTTGCAAGAATTGCAATTACAACGAATCAGTAAATTGCCCTGAAGACGTTTCAACGTTTCAATTGTAAAGTAAAAACGTAAATGATATGATTAAAAAAAACACTTATCATGAGTACGTTTAAACATTTACCTGTTGTAGTTAATTTGCTCATTGAAATTAAAAACCAGTAGCAGTTTTGTTAACAACAGAAACTCAGGTGAGATGAAGACGATGATGAAAAAGAAGAAGAGAAAGAAGAAAAAAACAGAGCCTCAAGTATCTTCCTAAAGGAATTTAGATAATTTCTTAAAAATCATTTGAATGTTTTTTTCTCTTCTCTCATCATCATCTTCTTCTTCTTCATCATCTTTTTCATCTTCCTCCTCCTTTCATCCAGTCTTTCAAGTCTAATCATCATCACTTCACAATTTGCAATCATTTTGATACCTTGACCATCGTT